ATTTTTTTTTTTCATCTCCCTTTGTAAGTATATATATATATTTTTTTTCATGTGATACAATTGATGAGACAATAATGCTACGGACACCGGGATTTTATACCGAAATATTGTACCGGCTAAGTGAACGCACATCTGAATATTTACAATTTTTTTCTAGTGAACGACCGTCCATCAATTGGACGGCATTCACTCACATGGACGCCCGTCCATATATAGGACGGGCGTCCTATACAAGGGCGAAAGTCATTTAAAGGACGCCGTCCAAAATAAAATATAATAAAAAAAATTATAATAATTGGGGACGGCCGTCCATCTGTTATGGACGGCCCTCCATTACTTTTGGACGGGCATCATTTGTAATGGAGCCCATCCTATTTAAAAAAAAAAAAAAAAAAAAAAAATAAATTCTGCTTCTTCTTCTTCCTTTCGTAAATGTCCATTTTCTTTCTATTGAAATAAGAGCGCCATGTAGCTTGGATGAAGCATGCGGCCCATGTCCTCCACTATTATGGTAGAACCTGAAGGTGTGCTCCCTCTTCATCTTTCCTAAGTTTCCCAGCCAGCTGAGGAAACTCTTCAGAATGTGTCTTGTGATTTCTTCTCCACTTCTTGGGTTGCCATTGTGACTGAGTTAAGGAGTAGTGTTGTTGAGATAGTAAAGATGGAAGAGATTGGATGAATTTTAAATTTTCAAAGATGGAATAGAAAAGGGAAAATACCCAGCTGGGGTTGTCTTGAAGAATAAGTTAGAAAGTTAAAATGAAGTAATTTACAGATTCTTGAAGAATTTTGGATACCTTCGCAATTTTGTGAGAAGCTATTCTGGGGGCAAGATAAGCCAATCCAATAATATTGATCATCTTCCTGAAATATATAAAGAAAACAGGAACTGAAACCCATGAATAATTGCACCAATGATCCCAAAGCCATTAACACACAGTCCTAAAAATCTGCAAATGTAAATAGTTTCAGCAATGAAACTCAAGCAAAACAAGAAGAAGAAGAATGAACTAGAATAGAAAAAGAGAGAAAGAATAATGGACGGCCGTCCAAACTTAAGGGACGCCCGTCCACAATTTATGGACGGGCGTCCAAATTTTTTATTTTATTTTTTAAAACAAATTAAGTTTGGACGGGCGTCCCGTATTTGCGGACGCTCGTCCAAAATTAAGGGACGGCCGTCCACAACCTATGAACGGCCATCCATAATGTTTTACAAATTTTTTTATTGTATTTTATTTATGGACGAGCGTCCTTTAAATGGGGACGCCCGTTCCTTGTATATGGACGCCCGTCCATATAATATGGACGGGCGTCTATGTGAGTGAATGGCCGTCCAAATTTGATGGACGGCCGTTCACTAGAAAAAAATTGTAAAAATATTCAGATGTGCGTTACATGTAGGCCAGTACAGAATTTCGGTGTAACTTTTTCGGTGTCCGTAGTGTTATTGGTGATGGGACTATGTCTAGTTAATAGTTACTGGTTTGCTGTTATAATTTTTGTTTTGTAATTGAAATAAAATAAATTTATGTGAATGAGTTTTGGTTATTTGGTAAAAGATATTTTGAAATGAATAATGTTTCACTTACAAAGAATATTTACAAAAATTTTCATATAAAATAATGTGATAAAAAATAAAGAGAATAATAAATATAATAAGTTTGATATTTTGTTTTACTCTTTAATTTTTTGATATTTTATTTTACTTTTTAATTTATTTTTTACTATTCTATTTTAAACGAAAATCTTTGAAAGTATAATATTGTTGTCGTTGAATTAACTAGCCCAATCCAAGGCCTAGATTGGTCCCTAGGCTCGGGCTTTTTGCACGGCTATAATTGACAACTCCTAATTTTTCGCTTTTGAATTTTCTAAAATTCACAAAATTCAAAATTCATTAGCAAAGATTCATCGNAACAAACTCACCCTAATAATCAAAGTGGTTATTCATTATATCCTTTTAAAAGCGTTTAGAAGAAGAGAATCCTAATTTAATTTGCATAATGTGAAACCTTAGCAAATTCTTATATGAACATTGAAAACAATATGCATGTGAATTCGGGTGCTTCAATTATTAGATCTTTTTATTCTTTTCCGGGATGTTCAACTAATTTAAGCTGGTCCAATCTTAGACAACAAAATAAAGAAAAGTAATAATATATTCATAAATTCTTCTTACTAATTTTTTCTCACAAACACGATGTGTCGGTTCATAATTGGTCAGCTCACAATAGGTATCGTCTAGCTAAATGCGAACTGTCACGTCAACATTTGTGCAAGAAAGTTGCGAGAAGTAACCAATCTTTATTTATTATTTTTATTTTCATAATCATGCCTATAGGCGTAGAGTAATAATGTTGATACTTATTGAAATATAAATAATATTTTGCATTTTTAAGTCTTAATTTCAATGTGTGCATATCTTAATTATTGCAATTTTGATCTACAACTATCGTATGATTCACCTGATTATGTGATAAATACTATGTTAATATTATTTTTGAAACATAAATAAACTAGATATTTCTAAGAGTATTCTCATAATAATTTTGAAAATTTTAGTCGAAAATTGAATTAACTTTTACTATCCTCAGTCAAGTATTTCATATAGAGCCATGTGATGGAATAACTTTAATTAAAGTGTTAAATTATTGATTCCATAATTAGACACATGTTAATTGAAAGTTGTTAATTATATTTACAAAGAAATCTTACAAAGTGATAGTGGCAAAAAAAATGAATAGAAGAGTGAATATAATGGCTTCGTTTGGTTCAAGATTGGGAATACTACTCTTAGTATTCCCAAAAAAGTTAAACAGTAAAATATCCAAAAACTCTCATTTTTGGGAATACTTTTTTCAATATTATTCAATTTTGTTTAAACCCTCTAAATTTATTAATTTAATTAAATAACCCTAAATATTTTTTTTTAAATTATAAAAACACCCCAACAATCCACATTTACCAGATTCCGGTCACCACCGCTGGAAAATGGCTGAAATCTGGTAGGATGGCACACTACCAGCTGAATCTGGCCGGTAGTGCGCCGATCAAGCCTTTTCTGGCCAGATCCACGGTGGATCTGGCCGGAAAAGGCCAGATCTTTGGCTGTAATAGTCGGTCACGATGGCCAACAAACGGTCGTCGTTGACCATCAACGACGACCGTTTGTTGGCGTTTGTTGGCCGTCGTTGAGAACAAATATGGCCAGATCCACCATGGATCTGGCCGGAAAAGGCCATATCGGTGCATGACCGGCAAGATCCAACCGGTCATGCGCCGATAAGGCGACTCCGGCCACCTCCGGTGGTGGTGGCCGACTGGGGGTGTTTGAGGGTGGGTTAGGGGTGTTTTTGTCAACTTTTAATGTTTTATTATAGGGGGTATTTTGTAAAAAAAAAAAAGGGGTATTTTATAATTTATAAATCCTACATCGTAATACCTGTCCAATTCAACTTTTTTTTTACTTTTTTCAAAAAACTTTTCCCAAAACCCCCAAATTTTGAATCAAACGAAGCCAATAAGTTTGACTTTTCTATTCATTTTTTTTTTCCATCTCACTTGTATAAAAATCTTTGTAAGTATAATAATAATAATATTATTATTATTATTTTCATGTGAAACACATGTGATGGGATTATGTCTAGTTAATAGTTACTGGTTTGCTGCTATAATTTTAGTTGTGTAATTGAAATAAAATAAATTTATGTGAATGGGTTTTGGTTATTTGGTATAAGGTATTTTGAGATGAATAATGTTTCACTTACAAAAGAATTTTTACAAAGATTTATATATAAAGTGACGTGATAAAAAATAAAGGGAATAGTGAATATAATGAGTTTGATATTTTATTTTACTCTTTATTTTATTTTTTACTACTTTATTTTGAGCGAAACTCTTTAATTTATTTTTGAGTAATGCTACAACCACCGAAGATTGTATACCGAATGACTTGGTAAAACTCTGACTGTTTATTTATTATCAGTTAATATTAATCAACGGTTAGAATTTTATCACGTTATTCGATGCATAAATTAGATACATAATCTTCGATGACTCTATTATTTTTGTTTATCTTTTACTACCTTATTTTGACGAAAATATTTGTAAGTATAATATTTTTGTTCCGTACAAAACCTTTATAAGTAAAATATTATTATTGTGAAATTAACTAGACCCGATCCAAGGCCTAGATTGGTCCTTAGGCTCGGGCTTTTTGCCCGGCTGACCGGCTCTAATTGACAGCTCCTAATTTTCGCTTTTGAATTTTCTAAAATTTCACAAAATTCAAAATTCATTAGCAAAGATTCAGAGCTGTCACATCGTCGAGGGAGAGAGTTTGTGAGGGTGAGACGTGGGCTTTCTTTGTTGAATTAAAAAAGGAAAATTAAAAAAAAAATATATCAATTCAGCAGATGTGACACCGTTATGATGAATTTTTTTTTTTTTTTAAGAAAAGCAGACGGTGTGCGTAAATTCCGAATTCGATGACTTTTTTTGGTAACAGTAACATATCTGCCAGACTGCCATGTGCCATCAGATCAATGCCGTCAAATTCAATAGTAAATTTCGTACCAATTTGATAATGATCAATTTTATTGTTGAGAATGAGATATTTTTTTTCTTCTTTTGTTGATTTTTAACTCATCCATATGTAACTATGTTTTTCCGATCTTGGAAAACAAATTAAATTAGGTTGTTCATCATCTGAAAACAGGGACCAAACAAATCATTTATGACATTTCATGCAATAATTTTATATTTACATTTTATTTTAAAGATATAATAAATAATACATAAGAAAAGGGGGTTCAATTTCAATCTACATAGTAGATTAGTAGGGTACTATGTATATGATGAATAAGGACCATTTATCAATTTATGGCTATGATTCATTTATAATTAATGATCTTTTACTACTAAACAGACATTAAGCAGAGTGTAAAAGGAATTTGAAGATGAAATTGAGGGAGAGAGTTGAAAAATTTACAGATTCAATGGAGTTGGTTTCTCAATTACTGGTGGTGGAGATGCTACTAATCACAGCAGCAACTGCAACACCTCAAGCCAAGGATGGCTGCCAACATCAGTGTGGAGACTACGAAATCCCATTTCCATTCGGAACAACTCCTGCTTGTTACCTAAACGAAGATTTCCTCATCACTTGCAACCAAACCTATAATCCTCCCAAACCATTTTTACGGAAAACACTTAATCCTGTTACCCACATAAGCGTCGACGGTCAGTTGCAGGTGTTGAGCACTGTAGCAAAAGACTGCAATGGAGGAGGAGTCACGTCCGGGAACTTGGAAAGCAAGTTTGATTTGAAAAAATTCAGCATCTCTAACAACGACAACAAGTTCACAGTTATTGGCTGTAACAGCTACGCTACCATTGAGGGTCGGAAATCTGGTCATTCGTTCTTAACTGGCTGCATTTCTTTATGTGATGACATTGAAGATGTGGAAAACGGATCTTGTACCGGCGCTGGCTGTTGCCAGATAGATATTCCTCGAGGTCTACAACATATACATTTTACGGTTCATAGCTATGACGATGAGGACAATGTATCCAAGTTCAATAATGGTAGATGCACTTATGCTTTCGTTGTTGCAAAAAGCAAGTTCAGTTTCTCCTCCAATTACCTTAATAATTTACCGGATGATAAGTTTCCTATAGTGCTTGACTGGACAATAACTGGGGATGGCAACTGTACGGAAAGAAGCAACAAGTCAGATAACGCGTGCAATGAAAACGCAGTGTGTTATGTGCCTAAGGATCAGCAGAGATCTGGTTATCGGTGTGCAAGGATGGGTACCAAGGGAACCCATACCTCTCTCATGGTTGCCTAGGTATTACTATTCAATTTCATTTCAATTATGTGCCTCTGATTTTCACTGTGTGTTTTGTTTTGAAATTGCAGACATTAATGAATGCGAGAATTCGACACTCAATGATTGTGTATATGGTCATATATGTGAAAACACAGAAGGGAGTTATAGATGCAGGTGCCGGAAGGGGTACCACGGGGATGGAAGAAGAGGTGGAGAAGGTTGTTTTTCTAATCCATTTTCAGTGACTGTGATCGTTCTTGGTAAGGCTATACCTAATGTAATATAATTTTTTGTAATTGTGAAATTTTCAACTGATGGGGAACTCTGTTGTTCTCTATTTGATATGGGTTTTCACTTGTTATCATTTGGGTACATAATTCTGATTTCTGAATTCAAGAATATAGGGATGACAGTGACACTAGTAGTTGTCCGATAATCCAAATTTGTGAATTAAAGAAAAATTTAATAGAGAGACATCTTTCTCGATCTGAGTCGCTTTGGTTTTCATTTTATTGTTACTCACCCTGTTTCCTCATAAATCATAAATAAAATGAAAATTATATAGATCATTTCAAAAAAATTATTATGGACAATGATAAGCCAAACTGAGGAGAACAGAAGTTTAATATTGTCATATTTCATTAAAATTTATTTCATTTTTTTTACTTCCAGATGTTGTAGTCTAAATACGAATAAAAGTTTTAAATTGTTTTACGAATAGGTACTGGGATACTCTTTCTGGTTCTTCTCTGCAGTAGCTCATGGCTCTACTTGATGTGGAAGAAAAGAAAGCTCGTCAAGCTCAAAGAAAAGTACTTTCAGCAAAATGGTGGTTTTCTTTTACAAGAGCAACTTGCAAAACGCTCTGGATCTTCTGATTCTGCCAAAATTTTCACTGCTAAAGAACTCGAGAAGGCAACCAACAACTATTCTTGTGATAGAATCATTGGCCGAGGAGGATTTGGCACAGTGTATAAAGGATTCTTAACAGACAATGACAATAGCCCAGTTGCCATAAAGAAGTCCAAAGTAGTGGACAAAAGTCAAATGGACCAATTCATTAATGAGGTGGTTGTGCTCTCTCAAATCAACCATAGGCATGTAGTCAAGCTATTGGGCTGTTGTTTGGAGACGGAAGTTCCTTTACTGGTTTATGAGTTTGTGAGCAATGGAACCCTTTTTGAACACATCCATAGTAGAGATAAGACGTCCACTATTTCCTGGGAAACACGTCTTAGGATAGCAGCAGAAACAGCAGAAGTACTTTCCTATTTGCACTCTGATGCTTCTACTCCAATTATCCATAGAGATGTCAAGTCTTCCAATATACTCTTAGACGATAATTACAACGCAAAAGTGTGTGATTTTGGAGCTTCAAAGTTAGTTCCAATGGATGTAACTCAATTGTCCACAATGGTACAGGGAACTCTTGGGTATTTGGATCCAGAATACATGCACACTAGCCAATTAACTGAGAAAAGTGATGTTTACAGCTTTGGAGTAGTCCTTATGGAGCTAATGACAGGAAAGAAGCCAATCTTGTTTGACAGGCCTGAGGAAGAGAGAAATCTGGTTGTGTATTTTCATTTGTTATTGAAAGAGGGTTGCTTATTTGAAATTATTGACAGTAATATAGTGAACGATGGGAACAAGAAGAAGCTGGAGGCAGTGGCCGAGCTAGCAACAATGTGTGCAAGTTTGAATAGAGAGGAGAGACCAACAATGAGGGAAGTAGCAATTGAATTAGAAAGATTGAAAATGATGCATGGCCACAACTTGCAGGATAATGTTGAATTGAGAGCTGCAGTGAGTAAATAAACCACTCGATATTGTTGATAATTGTAATGATAGCAGCAAGGTAGTTGATGGGCATGACAATATCGAAGAGCTCAAACCTCTTTAGTGTTTGTTTGGTTCTTTAGATATATCTTATTCTAAAGACACTTTTATCTTAATGAGACACGCACGGATTGCCATTTATTCATAACTTTTATCCATATTCTGTAGCCTTGTGCTCCAAATTATATTAATACCTCATCTTACTTTCGCTTTGTTTGCTTTGTAACTTAACCTTACAAAATTATTAATCCATATATTTCAATAGTCTATCCACGTTTAAGGAGTAGAGACATGGATTTGTTGAATGGCAAAATGTATACAACGCCATCAAAACTTCTGACGAATGTGAAAATGGGATATATGTACGCTTGCTTATTGAACATTGCGTGTAGGAATTCTCTTAACCGAGTTATCGCTCAAGTTGATGGGGCATGCAAGTTCATTTAACTTAATTTAGATTACTATAATAACATATTTCAAGGAAGACAAATTAAAACCCTAAATTTATAACAACAGCAATAAAATATTAATTTTGCATGATATTTATAATGAGTTCTTATATAGGAAACTGTCTTAAAATAAACAATTTCATATTGTTAGGATCTCACATCAGGATTTTATACCCATTAATTTTAGTATTTAAGTTTAGTGGTTCTTCCACCCATCAAACCGGTTTTTTGAGTGAGCTCTCCCTTGAATTTGAGTTTTAACATTGGTGTTTTCGTTAAGAGTACCTTTAAATGAATTAAACTTCGCACCATGCGAAGACTGAATAACTGTCAGTCTATTGATGTATTTGTGTAATCAAATAATATTTATATACTTTAAGTTTAAATTATATATATATATATATAAGATTCATGGTCCTTAAGAGTGGTTAAAGAGTTTTATAAGGATGACCAAACCACTCCATTATTTTTAGATTAAACTTTAATATTGTGGTAAACGGTATTAAAGACAAATTCATATCCTTTCTATACTTGTTTAATGAAAGGTCGCTAAGGGCTCAATAGTTTCCTAACCTAAAAGGCTAAAATTGAATCAGTCGTGTTGCAGTAATGTAAAATGTGTAGACTTTCATAGATCATGCTTTCCGCCATCTTCAAACCTCTTAATGTCCAATTCAACAAGGTGACTTCTTCCATTTTCACCAGCTTCGCTTCTGCTCATATTTCCTCCTGGGTGTTGGGGTTCAGTTTACCAAACTCTTTGTGAAGCCTAAAGTTGATGTAAAACTTCCTCCAAATTACTTATTTTGGAATTTGGAAATTCCAGTCTCAGATGACAAAAGTAATACTTCAAAGAATTATTAATTAATATATAGTTGCAGGCATGATACCCGGGGTGAGCACGGGTAGCGGGTAGAACCGGAACCGAAATCGGAACCTACCCAGAACCTGCACTGTGCGGGTAGGTTCCGGTTCCAATTTTTTGGAACCGCTACTGTGCGGTTCCGGTTCCAGTTCTTGCATGTGGAGGAACCGGAACCGGAACTGGAACCTGTAAAAAGGGTACCTTGTTTGGAACCTGTAGGGGGTACCCAGTTTGGAACCTGTTTTGGAACCTGTTTGGAACCTGTTTTGGAACCTGCTTTGGAACCTGTTTTTAGAACCTATTTATAACCTATTTTGGAACCTGGACTATAATGAAATATTTGTGAAATGTAAATAATGGGGGAGTTTCTATTATTTTACATATAAAAAAATTTAAAATAGAAAAAGTTAAATTTTTGAATAACCTAATTAAATAAATATACGAATACAATTATACTTATTACATATAAATTACACCATATTAAAAGCGTTAATATATTATAATACATTAATATTAAAGTTTTGATCAATTAAGTGAATAATTGGAATTATGATCCAATTAAAAGTGTTTTACATTTTTAATGTTATTAAAAGAATTATTTTTGAATAAAATAGTATATTTGATTGAGTAATAATATATTTAGTTATTTACTTCAATTATCAAGTTCTAAGTATATCTATAATAAATTAGTAATTAATTAATTATATATGATAAATTGATAAACATTAATAAATTTAATTACTAGTTAAATATCATACTTAATCAATTATAACATTACATTATAGTTAAATGATTACTTAATTAATTATAATTTTATAACATTACTTAATTGATTTATAGTATAATTAATTATAGCATTACATTAATTGATTACTACTTAATTAATTGACTTATAAGTTATAACATAATTAAATAGTTAATTAATTGACTTATAATTAGAAATTTAATTAATTATAGCATTACGTTATAGATTTATAGTATAATTACTTAATCAATTATAACATTTTATTATAAACATTAGTACAAACTTAATTAAATGATTAAAAATTTAATTAATTATAATATTACATTAAAAATTTATAGTATGATTACTTAATAGTTAATTCACTATAACATTACATTATAGTATGATTATATAATTAATTATAACATTACATAATTAAATGATTACTTAATTGATTATGACATTATATTATAAACATTAGTAATTTACTAATTTACATAATACTTAATCAAATTATTATAATTTTATTAATTATAACATTATATTATAAATTTATGGTATGATTATTTAATTAATTATAACATTCTATTATAAACAATATTACAATGTTTAGTTAAATGATTAACAATTCAAGTGTTGCTTAGAGATTACAGGTTATGAGTTACATTGGATACAAATGAATGAATAATGAAAATTTGTTTTGGGTGTATTTGTAAACTTATAAGGTGTTTTTGTTATTTTTTAAACTAATAGGGGGGTAATTGATTTTTTACAGAGTATCCTGGAAAGGAACCGGAACCTGCATTTTAGGTTCCGGTTCCTTGAATTAAAGAACCTGTACTATGCGGTTTCGGTTCTGATTCCTTTTTTTGGGAACCTGCACTGTACGGTTCTGATTCCGATTTTCTAAAAAAAATACAGGGTACCTAGAACCGTTCACCCCTATATGATAGTATTAAAATGAGATGTTTGAACAGGTCATAGCTGTCTCTACCTTAGAATCCAAAATTTTAAAACAAAATCGTGTAAATTCCAGTCAATGTGCTGTTCATTGTTCTTTCATTTTCATTTTCACAGGTTAACCTGCAATTAATTTGATAATTAACTGTACATGTTGGCCTTCAAGAAACATATAAAACAGAAAATAATTGCTAACCCCAAGGCAACTTTTATAGTTAACTGTACCTGTTCGCCTTCAAGAAACATATAAAACAGAAAATAATTGCTAACCCAAGGAGTTGCTAACCCCGAGCGGAGGTTTGTTCTGTTTTTTGGTTTAAATTTTAAGTTATTTATTATAATAATATTAGTTTATCTGATTTTTTAAATTTATAAGATATTTAATAAATTCTAAAAATTAATTAAATTATATGTAAATTAGTTTAAACATACTAATCATCAACAAATAAATAATTGCTAACCATAAGAAAGTGACTACTCTGGCTTGGCTTGGTGTATAAGTAGACCTGACAAAATGGGTACAGACCCGCGGGTCGGTCCGTACCCGGGTAAAAAATATAGGGAATGGGTCCAATTTATTAGACCCGTTTCGTTTTTACCCATACCCGGCCCAACCCGTATAGTTGAGGGGTTATATGGGTAAACCCGCGGGCACCCGCGGGTACCCGTTTTTGCAAATCCCTAAAGTGGCTAAGTCCCTAACTCAAACTTTAAAACAAATCTTCATCTTCAACATAACAATTCTCTCCCGCAGTCCCGCCTCTCGATCTCTCATCACTGCATCACTCGTCACTCATTCATCATTAGTATACCTCACGGTCCTCACCTGAACCTTATTTATTCATTCTGTAAACTCTTAATCTCTCATCCAGTCTATGATTCCCATTCCTAGTACCACCGTCGACGGTAGCCCTCACTCTGGTCATCTCCTCTCTCTCATGTCATCGGGACTTGGGCGTCAGCTCGTCATCTCCTCTCTCTCTCCGTCGCAAGACTCGCGACTCTTTTCCCCACCATTGTAGCAGATCCGTGAGTTGGGTTTCAAGATCTGTTTTTATTGTATCTTCCAAAAAAGCTGCAGCTTGTTTGATGTTTGGGTTTCAAGATCTGTTTTCAAGATCCGTGAGTTGGGTTTCAAGATCTGCTTTTATTATATCTTCCAGAAAAGCTGCAGCTTGTTTGATGTTTGGGTTTCAAGATCTGTTTTTAAGATCCGTGAGTTGGGTTTCAAGATTTGTATAGTTTAGCTGATTCGTGAAATCTCTGTCTGTATGAAGTATGAACAGTAAATGATGAGGATTTTTGTGCTTAGAGTTAGTGAATTGCAGATTTTCAGGCACTGTTTTTAGAGTAATAGTTGTCCGACTGTCCCTGTAAATATGGTTTTGAAATGAAGCTGTTTGCCTATTTTCACAAGTAGAATTCTATAAATGTGTTATGCATATGCTACAAAATTGGAGCTATGGTTCAAATTTAGAATTCTGTGATGAATTATTTCCAATGTCCTGTACAATTTTCATAACTGCAAGAATTTTGGGGGTGTAATTGTTATAATTGAAAATAATTAGGGGTGAAACTGTAAAAACAGAAACCTGGAGAGAGAAAAAAGGGCATCCGCGGGTCCACCCTTACCCGTATAGGGTAGGGCACGGGTCTAATATTTTAGACCCGTATATATCAACCTGTATTAGACCCGTACCCGTAATGACCCCACCTGTACCCAACCCACCCGCCTGTTTTGCCAGGTATATGTATAAGGTTAGCTGACCCAATACCCGGTTACCAAGCAAATAAATAAATAAATAAATAAATAATTGCTAACTACGAGGAAAGGGACTACTCTGACTTGGCCCATAAGGTCATTCTCCGTGCTCCTAGCCTTATCAATTTTATATATCCTGAACCTCTATCTAATGCAATCTATTTTTTTCCGAATAATCCAAAATGAAATTAATGTCATAATCTTATTTCAAAAAAAAAAAAAGAAAAAGAAAATTTGAGTCATGAATCTAATGATTTATTTTTAATTATTCAAACTTATACAGAACCTTATGCATAAACAGCATTTGGTTTTGGGTTTTAAACGATTTAATTAAAAAGTAAATTGATGGTAATTAAAACTTATCTTATTCCAAATAAACTATTACATATTGGCCAAATGGTGATTAATTTATCTTCAGCGACTACAAACATATTGGTGGAATGTTGATTAAGTTGTCTTGTACAGCTAGCTAGCTACTAATATATTGGCCAAATGATTATTAAATTATCTTCCACCATTATTATCACACGGGTCAAAATGCCGATTAAATAGAATATATATATATATTTTCAGTTCTGGATGTAAAATCAGCACGTTCTTATTTGACCATATGTACATATTTGAACAACCACAAAATAAGTAATTTAAAAAGATATGCATTTTATTATGGTGTTAATTAATGTTCTAAAAACCGGACCGGATCATTTGGTCAGACCGATTCGACCAGTAGCCAATGGCATCTCCGGTCCGGTATCCTCTGAAAACCGACATTTTCAATCAAACTGGATTGAGCCGTGGTTGGACCGTCGGAATAGTGTTGAATTAATTGAGGTTCAATCGTAACTCAATCTCGCCGGATGCCAGCATCGTTCAAGGGAAAAAACACAATCATTAGACTCAATGACATCTCTACAACAAAACCCAACCATTTTTAGTGGCCGTCGTCTAGCCTTCGTCGCTCGCCGTCCACCTATAGTTCACAAGACCGTCAGACTTCCTTCTTGATTCCGGCAAGTTTCGGTGCCGATGAAACTCCCTAACACCTCCATGAGATTCGCCTTTTAGGTATATATATATATATATATATATAAGGCTAAAATTGAATCAGTCGTGTTGCAGTAGTGTCAAATGTGTAGACTTTCATAGATCATGCTTTCCGCCATCTTCAAACCTCTTAAGGTCCAATTCAACAAGGTGACTTCTTCCATTTTCACCAGCTTCGCTTCTGCTCATATTTCCTCCTAGGTGTTGGGGTTCAGTTTACGAAACTCTTTGTGAAGCCTAAAGTTGATGTGAAACTTCCTCCAAATTACTCATTTTGGAATTTGGAAATTCCAGTCTCAGATGACAAAAGTTATTCTTCAAATAATTATTAATTATTATATAGTTGCATGCATGATAGTATTAAATTGAGATGTTTGAACAGGTCATAGCTGTCTCTACACGTGCTTCGGCTCACTCTGGAGACTTAATTTAGAAATTGAGATGGCAGTACAAAGAGGAAAAAAAATAAAAGTGATACTATAAACCATATAGAAGACCACACGGTGACTTTGAGAAGGTGAATTGGTCCTCTGAAGAAATTATAAGAGGCACTCCCGTGCAAGTGAAATCAATTTTGTTAAAGCAGTAAAATGGGTTTGCGTGGAGTGCCTCTCCAATTCGTGCTACTGCAGATTCTATTGAGAACAGCAGCTGCTGCTACAATTCCTCTAGCCAAGCCTGGCTGCGAGGATCGCTGTGGAGGCCTCGAAATTCCTTATCCTTTCGGTACGACCACTGGTTGTTTCCTAAATGACGATTTCTTAATCACTTGCAACAACTCTTTCAATCCTCCCCAGCCATTTCTACGGAAATCAAAAATCCCTGTCACAAACATAACCATCGATGGGAGGCTGCATGTCATGAGCACCGCAGGACGAGACTGCTACGAAGGGGGCAAGCGGGTATCTGTGAGCAGGACTCGCCAGTTCTCTCTATCCGATTTCTCCATCTCCAACACCGAAAACAAGTTCACAGTCATTGGTTGCGATAGTTATGCTTACATTCGAGGTGACTTAGGAAATCAAACTTACAGAACCGGCTGCATGTCTTTATGTGAGAACATCGACTATGTCCAAAACGGAACTTGCGCCGGTATGGGATGCTGCCAGGTGGATATTCCTAAAGGGCTTAAACAAATCACTTTCACTCCGTATAGCCAGAGCAATCACACAAATGTTTCTGACTTCAATCCATGCACCTTTGCGTTTATTGTTGAACAAAGCCAATTCAGTTTTTCCTCCAATTATCTTTTGAATATATCAGAGAAGTTTCCTACGGTGATTGATTGGACAATCTCTGGGAATGGCAGCTGTGAAAATGCAAGCAGAACGGCGCCATTGAGTTACGCATGTAAGGAAAACTCCGAGTGTTATGATCCTGACGAGGGCGATTCCGGATATCGTTGCAGGTGCAAAACTGGTTACGAAGGAAATCCATACCTCTCTAATGGTTGTCAAGGTACTTTAGTCTATTCACTACCTTCAAGAACAAATTAAACATATACTAAGATATTACTTTTTATCTTTTCCTCAATTAATTCTACTATATTTATTGAAAATTCACTATATATATGTACTTTACATATGCAATTAATTGATTTTTGCAGACATTGATGAATGCAATGACTCAAGTCTCCATAACTGTGAACACATATGTGATAACCAAGAAGGGAGCTATACATGCCAATGCAGAAAAGGGTACCACGGTGATGGAAGAAAAGACGGAGACGGTTGTATACCCAATCAATTTTCAGTGGTTAAGGTCACTCTAGGTCAGTATATTTAGTGTTTTTTTGGCCCTTTTATAGTTTTTATACCCTGTGTTAAGTGGCTTGCGAAATTTTGCAATTAATGTCACCAGAGGAGGAGAAAATAAAGATAACAAGACAGAATCAAGTGGTAATTAGATTCAAATATCAATATCGAGTTCTTATTGTCTAATAACTAAACTTTTAGGACAAGTGTTTTGACTAACCAAAAACTGAGAAGTAAACTTGTCTAATATTGAATTCTTATTGTCATTTAAATTCTATTTCTATTTCAGTCTGTTATCATTTCAAATACTGAATCATGGTTTTCACATGCTTAACATATAGGCGTTGGCATATCCATAGTGGTTTTGCTTGTGAGTAGCTCTTGGCTCTACTTGGTTCTGAAGAAAAGAAAGCTCATCAAACTCAAGGAAAAGTTCTTCCAGCAAAATGGTGGTTTTCTTTTACAGCAGCAACTCTCCAAACGAAGTGGATCTTCTGATGCTACTAAAATATTTACGGCAGAAGAACTGAAGAAGGCTACCAACAACTACGCTGATGCTAGAATCATTGGCCGAGGAGGCTANCTAAGATATTACTTTTTATCTTTTCCTCAATTAATTCTACTATATTTATTGAAAATTCACTATATATATGTACTTTACATATGCAATTAATTGATTTTTGCAGACATTGATGAATGCAATGACTCAAGTCTCCATAACTGTGAACACATATGTGATAACCAAGAAGGGAGCTATACATGCCAATGCAGAAAAGGGTACCACGGTGATGGAAGAAAAGACGGAGACGGTTGTATACCCAATCAATTTTCAGTGGTTAAGGTCACTCTAGGTCAGTATATTTAGTGTTTTTTTGGCCCTTTTATAGTTTTTATACCCTGTGTTAAGTGGCTTGCGAAATTTTGCAATTAATGTCTCCAGAGGAGGAGAAAATAATGATAACAAGACAGAATCAAGTGGTAATTAGATTCAAATATCAATATCGAGTTCTTATTGTCTAATAACTAAACTTTTAGGACAAGTGTTTTGACTAACCAAAAACTGAGAAGTAAACTTGTCTAATATTGAATTCTTATTGTCATTTCAATTCTATTTCTATTTCAGTCTGTTATCATTTCAAATACTGAATCATGGTTTTCACATGCTTAACATATAGGTGTTGGCATATCCATACTGATTTTGCTTGTGAGTAGCTCTTGGCTCTACTTGGTGCTGAAGAAAAGAAAGCTCATCAAACTCAAGGAAAAGTTCTTCCAGCAAAATGGTGGTTTTCTTTTACAGCAGCAACTCTCCAAACGAAGTGGATCTTCTGATGCTACTAAAATATTTACGGCAGAAGAACTGAAGAAGGCTACCAACAACTACGCTGATGCTAGAATCATTGGCCGAGGAGGCTATGGCACAGTGTATAAAGGATTTTTAGCAGACAATGGCCCAATTGCCATAAAAAAGTCTAAAATAGTAGATCAAAGCCAAATTGAGCAATTTGTCAATGAGGTAGTCGTGCTGTCACAAATCAACCACAGAAATGTGGTCAGACTTTTGGGTTGTTGTTTAGAGACTGAAGTTCCTTTATTAGTTTATGAATTTGTCAACAATGGCACCCTCTTTGAGCACATCCATAATAAAGACAAGGCAGAGACTATTTCTTGGGAAACTCGTCTAAGAATAGCATCAGAAACTGCGGGAGTGCTTTCCTATTTGCACTCTGCAGCTACCACTCCAATTATACATAGAGATATCAAGTCTACCAATATACTCTTGGACAATAATTATACAGCGAAAGTGTCTGATTTTGGAGCTTCAAAGTTGGTCCCAATTGATGAAACTGAATTATCCACAATGGTGCAAGGAACTCTTGGGTACCTGGACCCAGAATACTTGCATACTAGCCAATTGACTGAGAAAAGTGATGTCTACAGTTTTGGAGTTGTCCTCGTGGAGCTAATGACAGGAAAGAAGGCACTTCTGTTTGACAAGCCAGAGGAGCAGAGAAGTCTTGTTATGTATTTTCTTACTTCGTTGAAAGAGGGAAGCCTATTTGAAATTCTTGAGAGTGATACAGTAAATGATGAGAACAAAGAGCAGCTGAAAGAAGTGGCTGAGGTAGCAAAAATGTGCTTAAGAGTGAGAGGAGAGGAGAGGCCTACAATGAGGGAAGTAGCAATGGCCTTAGATGGATTAAAAGTGATGCCTAAACATGCATGGGATAATGCTGAATTGATTTCAGAAGAGACAAAGTACTTGCTCTGTGATACGCCCGATGTTAATAAATACGGTGATGGTAGCACCTCAACGGCAACTGCTGGGTACGACAGCATCAGAGACCAGATAGTGGCCGCTGCATTTAATAATGGGAGATGATTATTGCTGCATGATTTTATGATGTTCTATTAAGGACTTGATCATCACAGAACACAAGTAGGAATTGGCAAATTACCTTCTATTAGAACTTATTATGAAATGATTTAGCAATAGCTTCATGTACAAAACATGTTTTTCCGATAATCCAAATGAAATTAATGTCATAATCTTAGTCAAAAACAAAAAAAAAAAAAAAAAAAAAAAAAAAAAAAAAAGAAAGAAATTGTGAGTCATGAATCTAATGATTTATTTTTAACTATTCAAACTTATACAGAACCTTGTGACTAAACAACATTTGGTTTTGGGTTTTAAACGATTTAATTAAAAAGTAAATTGATGGTAATTAAAACTTATCTTATTCCAAATAAACTATTACATATTGGCCAAATGGTGATTAATTTATCTTCACGACTAAAACATATTGGTGGAACGTTGATTAAGTTGTCTTGTACAGCTAGCTACTAACATATTGGCCAAATGATTATTAAATTATCTTCCACCTTATTATCACACAGGGTCAAAATGCCGATTAAATAGAATATGAAACATATATATATTTTTTTTTCAGTTCTGGACGTAAAATCAGCACGTTTCTATTTGACGATATGTACATATTGAACAACCACAAAATAAGTAATTTAAAAAAGATATGCAGTTTCTTAGGTGTTAATCAGTACATTCGCACTAATATCAAATACTGATACGAAGTGTATCATAGCTTCAAGAAAACCCAAGCCTGGACCATGTGTGACTCTCATGAACGTGAAAAATTGAATAAGTTCGTTCCTCAATTACACACGTACCAAATAACCAATTATGTAATTGGTCTTTATATACTTAAAAATTCCCAACACGCGCTTCGGCTCACTCTGGACTGAGACTTAATTTGAAATGAGATGGCAGTACAAAGAGGAAAAAAAATAAAGTAATACTATAAACTATATAAGACCACACGGTGACTTGGAGAAGGTGAATTGGTCCTCTGAAGAAATTATAAGAGGAGGCACTCCTGTGCAAGTGAAATTAATTTTGTTAAGCAGTAAAATGGGTTTGCGTGGAGTGCCTCTCCAATTCGTGCTACTGCAGATTCTATTGAGAACAGCAGCTGCTCTACATTCCTCTAGCCAAGCCTGGCTGCGAGGATCGCTGTGGAGGCCTCGAATTCCTTATCCTTTCGGTACGACCACTGGTTGTTTCCTAAATGATGATTTCTTAATCACTTGCAACAACTCTTTCAATCCTCCCCAGCCATTTCTACGAAAATCAAAAATCCCTGTCACAAACATAACCATCGATGGGAGGCTGCATGTCATAGCACCGCAGGACGAGACTGCTACGAAGGGGGCAAGCGGGTATCTGTGAGCAGGACTCGCCTTCTCTCTATCCGATTTCTCCATCTCCAACACCGAAAACAAGTCACAGTTCATGGTTGCGATAGTTATGCTACATTCGAGGTGACTTAGGAAATCAAACTTACAGAACCGGCTGCATGTCTTTATGTGAGAACATCGACTATGTCCAAAACGGAACTTGCGCGGTATCGATGCTGCCAGGTGGATATTCCTAAAGGGCTTAAACGAATCACTTTCACTCCGTATAGCCAAGCAATCACACAAACGTTTCTGACTTCAATCCTGCACCTTTGCGTTTATTGTTGAACAAAGCCAATTCAGTTTTTCCTCCAATTACTTTTGAATAATCAGAGAAGTTTCCTGCGTGATTGATTGGACAACTCTGGGAATGGCAGCTGTGAAAATGCAAGCAGAACGGCGCCATTGAGTTACGCATGTAAGGAAAACTCCGAGTGTTATGATCCTGACGAGGGCGATTCCGGATATCGTGCAGGTGCAAAACTGGTTACGAAGAAATCCATACCTCTCTAATGGTTGTCAAGGTACTTTAGCTATTCACTACCTTCAAGAACAAATAAACATATACGCATCGTACCCAGAATACATTTTCAGTATCTCCACCTATAATCGATCCATCATACACAGAACAAATTTTCAACAAATTTCACTCCTTTCAACTTGCATTACATCAAACACAATCCAACAACCTAAACAACTAAATCAAAATCATAACCCAAACCCTATCCATTATTAAATCTTTGTAAATCTAAATATAAAATGTAAAAAGGATATACACATATTTACACGAAATGTCAGAAGGAGGAGGAGGGGGATCTTTGCCGGAGAAGATGTTAATGGTGGAGGAAGAAGAAAGTGTTAATGGCGGAGGAACAAGAAGATGTAGAGGAAGGAGGAAGAAGAAGAAGATGCAGAGGAAGGAGGAAGAAGAAGAAGATGCAGAGGAAGAAGAAGATGTAGACGAATCTAAGAAGAAGAGAAGAAGATGCAGAGGTAGAGGTAGAGATGCGTTAATGGCGGGAAGGTGTTTGGGTTTGTTTGCAATAATTTCGGGTTTGTGGGAATATAGTATAATTTTGAAAAGATTACATAATACTTTATTAATCCTAATTAAGTACTAATTACCCTTAATCAATAATATGACTATTTAGTTAACACTTTAAAACTTGATAGCCTTTTAATTAAATACAAACTTGAAATGACCTTTTAATAAACTGCCCCGCTAAAATTGAATCAGTCGTGTTGCAGTAATGTCAAATGTGTAGACTTTCATAGATCATGCTTTCCGCCATCTTCAAACCTTTTAAGGTCCAATTCAACAAGGCGGCTTCTTCCATTTTCACCCGATTGGCTTCTACTCATATTTCCTTCTATAGGTGTTGGGGTTCAGTTTACCAAACTCTTTGTGAAGCCTAAAGTTGATGTGAAACTTCCTCCAAATTACTCATTTTGGAAATTGGAAATTCCAGTCTCAGATGACAAAAGTAATACTTCAAAGAATTATTAATTAATACATAGTTGCATGCATGATAGTATTAAAATGAGATGCTTGAACAGGTCATAGCTGTCTCTACTTTAGAATCCAAAATTTTAAAACAAAAATCGTGTAAATTCCAGTCAATGTGCTGTTCATTGTTCTTTCATTTTCATTTCACAGGTTAACCTGCAATTAATTTGATAGTTAACTGTACATGTTGGCCTTCAAGAAACATATAAAACAGAAAATAATTGCTAACCCCCACGGAGCGGCTAACGCCGAGGAGTTGGGGGTTTGTTTTTTTTTTTTTTTTAAGTTTTTGGGATCAAACTTTGAGTTATTTATTATAATAATATTAGTTTATCTGATTATTTGAATTTATAAAATTTTTAATAAATTTTGAAAATTAATTAAATTTTACGAAAATTAATTATCAAAAATAAATAAATAAATAAATAATTGCTAAGTACGAGGAAAGTGACTAGTGACTACTCTGGCTTGGCTTGCTGTATAAGGTTAGCTGACCCGATACCCGGTTAACAAAAAATAAATAAATAAATAATTGCTAACTACGAGGAAAGGGACTACTCTGACTTGGCCCATAAGGTCATTCTCCGTGCTCCCATCCTTATCAATTTTATATATCCTGAACTTCTATCCAATGCAATCTTTATATTTTTTTNTGAAATGCTTTTACAAATAGGTGTTGGCATAAGCTTTGTGGCTCTGCTTGTGAGTATCTCTTGGCTGTACTTGGTGTTGAAGAAAAGAAAGCTCATCATACGTAAAGAAAAGTTCTTCCAGCAAAATGGAGGTTTTCTTTTGCAACGAGAACTCTCTAGACGAATCACTGGATCGTTTGATAAAGCTAAATTTAAAATCTTTATGGAAGAAGAACTCAAGAAGGCCACCAGCAACTTTTCTGAAGATAGAATAGTTGGCCGAGGAGGCTATGGCACAGTATATAAAGGATTTTTAACGAAAGACAATCCAGTTGCCATAAAGAAGTTCAAAATTGTGGATCAGAGCCAAATCGAGCAATTTATCAACGAAATAGCCGTGCTTTCACAAATAGACTATATAAATGTGGTGAGACTGTTGGGTTGCTGTTTAGAAACTGAAGTCCCTTTACTTGTTTATGAATTTATCAACAATGGTACCCTCTCTGAACACATCCACAATAAAGACAGGGCCACCCGCCTTTCTGGGGAAAGACGTCTGAAAATTGCAGCAGAAACTGCAGAAGTGATCTCCATTTGCCAGCTTCTACTCCAATTATCCATAGAGACGTGAAGTCTGACAACATACTATTAGACGATGAATACAATGCAAAAATGTCTGATTTTGGAGCTTCAAAGTTGGTTCCGATGAATGTAACTCAATTATACACAATGGTGCAAGGGACTTTTGGGTACTTAATTAGACCCAGAATACTTTCAGACTGGGGAGTTGACAGAGAAAAGTGATGTCTACAGCTTTGGGGTTGTGCTTGTGGTGTTGCTGACAGGAAAGAAGGCGCTTTTATTTGACAGGCCGGAGGACGAGAGAAGTCTGGTCACGTATTTCCTTTCTTCAATGGAAGAAAATCGTTTATTTCAAATTCTTGAGAATCATATTGTAAACGACGAGAACAAGGAGCAACTGAGGGAAATGGCTGAGTTAGCGAGGAGGTGCTTAAGTGTGAAAGGGGAGGAGAGGCCTCCAATGAGGGAAGTAGCTATGGAATTAAAGGGATTGAGAATGATGCATAAACACCCGTGGGACAATGCTGTGAATCCCGAAGAAACAGGATCCTTGCTCTGTGGAACCTCTGAGGCTTACAAATGAGGTGATGATAGCAGTATAACTGCTGGGTATGACAGCATCACAGGCCAGGTTGTGGCCTTTGATGTTGATGGCAGATGATCGTAGCATGATGTTTATAGTGTTGTTTAATTATTATGTGACTCTTGCCATGTGCTATAGGGCCTTCGCTAACCACCATTGCATCTTGGTCTAAGGATGGATCAAGAGCTCTTGGATCATACTTGAAGGGTGGTTAGTGAAGGGTCAACCTTATCCTTGTGCTAATGTGCTGTAGTATATTATACCAAAACAATAAGCAGCCACCTAGGAATTGCCTTACTATTTTAATTTGAATGGTTTGTATAATAATGTAGTAAGGGTTACATAATGTAGGTTATATTAAGTTTGTCTTTGACTCTTTTGTTTCGGCTTGTAACTTCCTTATCATGTAATTAGAAAAAAAATATATTGAATTTTAAAGGACTTTCAATCATAACATGATAGTGAGGTTGAACTAATTTCCTTTTCTAATTCATAGTTTTTTCATACATTCAAAAAATTAAAATAAAAGAATCAATGTTAAGGGAGTAAATAAGAAAAATACTGAAATAATGAATTAACTTTTAATTTGAGTCTTGAGAAAAAGAAATAAAATTTACAAAATAATGGTTAACTAAATTTATTTATAAGTTCGAACATTAGATGTGTAATTTGTAAATATAAAATTTTACTTTTAATAGATTAGATTGAAAATATTAAAGTTTCATTAAATAAAAATCTTCATGTAATGAGAAACCTTATTGGAAAGAATAAATATCCAATTAAATAACGTCAAACAAAACAATACATGTTAATGTTATTAAACAGGACATTGATTCAAGAGAGGCGTAAGGCAATTTCAGCCGGCACTGCTTGTGACACTGTGAGTCTGTGACATACTTCAATTGATCACTAGACAGTAGCCAATCCCTTCGGCCGGCGCTGCGTGTAATACAGCGTAGCCAAATCTTGATGCAATCGCCTCGCTTGCCTACATCTTTAGCTGGTATTGATGTGAGATACACGTGTAGGTATATTATTGTTGCCCGTCACTTTCTAATGTGAAAAAACAGTTAGACTCTAGAAGAAACACCACAGGGAAGAGTTTGACGCCTCGAATAGATCATCAGAGTATTTAATTGTAAAGCACTAGCTTCACTCATCATATGAGTAGCAATGGGCTTGAAAGACTTTGTGGTGGCGGCAATGGCGTCGGTGCTAGTAGCTGTAGCTACTAAAACATTAGCAATAACTCTTGCCAAGTCTGGCTGCCCGGGTTACTGTGGAAACGTTGCAATCCCATATCCATTCGGTACAAGCCCTGACTGTTTCCGAAATGAGAATTTCCGCATCACTTGTAACAACTCTTTCAATCCTCCCAAACCATATTTGAGGGATTCAAATATCGATTTTACCAATATAAGCATCGACGGTGAGTTGCAGATCCCCAACTTCGTAGCACGAGATTGCTTCAGAAAGAACGAATCTGAGGACCAAAATCAGCCCACATTGACTTTGTCTGATTTAACCATCTCTAGCACCAAAAATGTATTCACAGTCATTGGCTGTGACAGTTATGCTTACATTCAAGGTTACATAGACGACCAAAGATACAGCTCCGGATGCATGTCCTTATGTGACAGTTCTAAGTATGTCAAAGACGGCTCTTGCATCGGCTCTGGGTGTTGCCAGATAGAAATTCCTAGAGGGTTATCGGAAATCAACATCACAGCTTATAGCTTTAACAACCATGTAAATGTATCCGACTTCAATCCATGCACCTATGCGTTCGTTGTTGACAAAAGTAGCTTCACATTCAAGCGGAGCTATCTTGATACGTTACCGAAAGAGCTTCCTGTTGTGCTTGAATGGACAGTAACTGGGGAAGGCAACTGTACGGAAGCAAGCAGCAAACCGTATTACGCATGTAAAGAAAACAGCGAGTGTTACGAACCTGACAACGGTTCTGGGTATCTTTGCAAGTGCAAGAAGGGTTACCAAGGGAATCCATACCTCTCTAATGGTTGCGAAGGTAGTCCAATATTTCTACTTAATTTTAAGAAAAACCCTATTTGCCAAGGCAATTCAATAAACACATTTACTATGTTTATACTTTCTAATTGTAAGCTGCAGTTTTTCACAATGTGCTTCACACTTTTCCTAAATTCAATTGCAGACATAAATGAATGCAACGAACCCAATCTCAATAACTGTGAGCAAAAGTGTGATAACACAGAAGGGAGCTATACATGCAGTTGCTACAAAGGGTATCACTTAACGGACGGAGGAAAACATGGACCACGTTGTGTGCCCAATGTACCCAATCAATTTCCAGTGATTAAGGTTGCTCTTAGTAAGTATAGTATGCTCTTTTGTAGTTTTGATGCCCTATAATTTTTGTTTGTGAACTTTGCAGTTGAGGGGAATCTGTGCTTCTATTCTTCAGAACAAAGAGAAGATTTTGATTTCTTTTAATTAAAAATTTTCGTTTAGTCTCACTTCAGTTTTTCATTTAGTCAAGTTCCTCAAATTTGTTGAGATAAGTGCATGTTTCAACTTACAAGGTATAAAATTTGACCGAAGTTCCAATTACATGCCTCAGGTTAGTGCTGCGTTCACCTAGGCACTTAACATTAAAAATATTTAAGTTTAACATTATTGAAACTTAAATTTTAGTTGTGGTTTATACTTTATTATTTCATTTTGTTATATCCAATGCGCATAAAGAAATTAAAAGATTCAAGTACTTTTACAAATAGGTGTTGGCGTAAGCTTTTTGGTCCTGTTTGTGAGTATTCCTTGGCTGTACTTGGTCTTGAAGAAAAGAAAGCACATCAAACTTAAAGAAAAGTTCTTCCAGCAAAATGGGGGTTTTCTTTTACAAAAAGAACTCTCTAAACGAACTGGATCGTTTGATAAAGCTAAATTTAAAATCTTTACGGAAGAAGAACTCAAGAAGGCCACCAGCAACTTTTCTGAAGATAGAATAGTTGGCCGAGGAGGCTATGGCACGGTATATAAAGGATTTTTAACGAAAGACAATCCAGTTGCCATAAAGAAGTCCAAAATTGTGGATCAGAGCCAAATCGAGCAATTTATCAACGAAATAGCCGTGCTTTCACAAATCGACCATATAAATGTGGTGAGACTGTTGGGTTGTTGTTTAGAAACTGAAGTCCCTTTACTTGTTTATGAATTTATCAGCAATGGTACCCTCTCTGAACACATCCACAATAAAGACAAGGCTACCAGCCTTTCTGGGGAAAGACGTTTGAAAATTGCATCAGAAACGGCAGGAGTGCTCTCTCATTTGCACTCAGCTTCTACTACAATTATCCATAGAGATGTGAAGTCTGCCAACATACTATTAGACGATGAATACAATGCAAAAATGTCTGATTTTGGAGCTTCAAAGTTGGTCCCGATGAATGTAACTCAATTATCCACAATGGTGCAAGGGACTTTTGGGTACTTAGACCCAGAATACTTTCAGACTGGGCAGTTGACAGAGAAAAGTGATGTCTACAGCTTTGGGGTTGTGCTTGTGGAGCTACTGACAGGAAAGAAGGCAGTTTTATTTGACAAGTCTGAGGGTGATCAGATAAGTCTGGTCACGTATTTCCTTTCTTCAATGGAAGAAAATCGTTTATTTCAAATTCTTGAGAATCATATAGTAAACGACGAGAACAAGGAGCAGCTGAGGGAAGTGGCGGAGTTGGCGAAGAGGTGCTTAAGCGTGAAAGGGGAGGAGAGGCCTCGAATGAGGGAAGTAGCCATGGAATTACATGAATTGAGAATGATGCATAAACACCCGTGGGACAGTGCAATGATTCCAGAAGAAACAGAATCCTTTCTCTTTGGAACGTCTGGGGCTTGTAGATCTGGTGATGATAGAATTATAATTGCTGGGTATGACAGCATCAAAGCCCAGGCTGTGGCATTTGATGTTGATGCCAGATGAATTTTGGATGATGCTACTTTGTGCCTTGATATTTTGTTGTTTATTATTATGTGTCTCTTGCCATGTAGCATAGGGCACCATTAATTCATCTTGGTCTAAGGATCGATCGAGACCTCTTGGATCAAAATTGGTGGTTTGTGAGGGGACAACCTTATCCCATTGTTGTAATGTTAACTGTTGTATATATATTTATCCCAATAAATAAGCAGCTATCAAGGATATGCCTTACTATTATAACTTGAATAATTTGCATAATAATTTAGTAAGGGTTATATTTTGATTTGCGTTACCATTACTGCTTGATGTACAGTTCATGTTATAATTTAAGCAAAAACAGGTTTGGACAAAAGTATATATAGTAAACGAGGGGAATTGCGGATTATCTATCTTGTGTCCGCTTACCGGATAATAGAATTATAATTATGGTTGACTTCGAACATGATTGGATAGTGAAAACTCTGTTTTAATTTTATATATTATAAAACATATAATAATTTATTTTCTTATTAGCAAACTCGTGACAACTAAGTAAAGCAACTGCTTTAGATTTAGACCACCTTTTACTTAAAATTCTCAATTTCTCACTAATAACATCTTATTAATAATTTCTTTAATACTTTAGATGTAACATCTCATTAATAATTTAAAATTCTCAATGGTATATTTTTATACATCCGCTCTTTGTTCATAAAATCAATTTTTGATTTATAGAACTGTACCCTTAATTAATAGCAAATAAATTTGGTATACTACAAAAATTTAGATATAATAGATAGTATTAGGACTTAATTAAATTTACATTTGAGGCTTTTGATGTGATAAAATAATGAAAAAATTACTTCGTTTAGATAACAATTACATTTATAATTACATCTATGACGAAAGTAGAAATAGTAGTGAAAACGATAATTCTAATAAAAAAGCTAGCTATGAAAATAAAAAAGACCCTTGAAAACAAAATTAAAACCTTCTAATTGGATGATCATAATACATCCCAAAAATCTAAATTTTTTATCGCCATTTTTGTTAAATAAGATACCGTTGTTGAGTCTTGACAATGCCAAATGTGCAGTGTTACATACGTGAGGGTTCACAGGATGCCACGATACTTTTCCTCTGTAATTTCTCTATATGCAACAGCAACAATCGACTTCTTATATTTAGTAGTCCTTTGCTCATGCAAGGTCGGTGGTTGAATGAGGATTAAACAAGTGGTCGGCTCCTACCCCACGCTTGTTACAAAGACTGTTTCTCTTGGAGAAGAAGCTGCCTACAAAACTCAAGGAAACTGGATAAAGCCAACCCATAACCACAAGATGAACGAGGGTCACCTTCTTCTTGACTTGGAATTTTTTTTTTTTTTTCCAATTTCTTGAGGTTTTGCCTGCGTTTCATGAGGCAAAATGTAAAGAATTTCTCCGAATCCTCGTAGTCAGTCTCGAGAAGAGAGGAGGAGAGGCCCCATTCCACCACACAGATGGTTCTCTGCGCTCACGCGGGAAAGATAAAAGTAGACCAAATAGTCATTATGAGCTACGGAAACTCAAATTACAAGTTGGACTGCCTTAACTCATCATTTTGTTCAGTAATCTTATCACAGAGACCACGCCATTTTAGAGGTAAAAATTGACCACAAATTTAGCTTATTAACATCTTCACAAGTAAGAATTGAAATTTGACACTAACTACTGCCCCGGAGATAGTAATCAAATTAACAAAAGAAGTTATAAATGATACAAACTCAAATTTTAGATATAATTAAGGGAGGTGACCAATTCTATCATTGAGCAGTAATTTCAACGAGTCCATTAGTGATCCACCCATAACATAAATAGGAACCCAATTACCCAAGTTTCGANCAAAAATTCATTGCAACAGGAAATTTCCTGATGGAAATCGTCACTTTGTTTTCTTTTCAGTTTTTTTGAGGTTTTCTTGTTGAAATTCATAAGTTCTGTTCCTTATTAGTCTTACAAATTACAAGATCTACTAGAAACATATACTGCATGATAATTTTTTTTTTTTTTTTACATATTTCTAATTTTTATATAATTGCCAGCTCTCGGCTGCTCAAGTGTTGGTTCAGTTATGTGAAGTGAATAACCATACCATACGTGCAAATGCTGTGAAGCTGTTCTGTTGCTTGACAGAAGACGGAGATGGCAGAACCTTCTTAGAGCACGTTGGTCAGAGATGCATTGAGACTTTGCTCGGGATCATCAAAACTTCTTGTGATGTTGAAGAAATTGCAGCTGCAATGGGTATTATCTGCAATCTACCTAAGAACACACAAATGACTCAATGGCTTCTAGATGCCGGGGCTCTTGAAGTTATCTTTACTTGTCTCAATGATGGAAATAGAAATGCATCATACAAAAGGCCAGTTGTAGAGAATGCCACCGGAGCTCTTTGTTGTTTCACCATCTCAACAAATCTGGAATGGCAGAAAAGAGCAGCTGAAGTAGGCATTATACCAGTACTTGTACAGTTGCTAGTTTCTGGAACATCTTTGACAAAACAAAATGCAGCCATTTCACTTAAACAGTTTTCCGAAAGTTCAACTGCTTTGAGCCAGCCAGTGAGGAAGCGTGGACTTTTCTTTTGCTGCATGGCTGCACCTCTCACCGGCTGCCCTGTCCACTTGGGAATCTGCACAGTAGAGTCTTCCTTCTGCATTGTAGAAGCTAATGCTTTGCCACCGCTAGTGAGGATGCTTGGAGAGACCAATCTTGGTGTTAGTGAAGCTTCGTTAGATGCACTCTTGACATTGATCGATGGTGAAAGACTGCAAAGCAGTAGTAAGGTGCTAGATGAAGCAAATGCCATTGCTCCAATCATCAAATTATTATGTTCACCGTCTGCCAGTTTGCAGGAGAAGATTTTGAAGGCTCTAGAAAGACTGTTTCAACTGGTTGAGTTGAAGCAAAAATATGGAAAATCTGCCCAGGTACCGTTAGTCGATATTACTCAGAGGGGAAATAGTAGTATGAAATCCCTGGCTGCTAAAGTACTTGTTCGGTTGAATTTGCTCGAAGAACAATCGTCATTTTTTGGATAAGGCACAATCATGTTCAATCTAATTCATTTCTCTTATAAGGTGAAGATATTTCCAATTGTTTCAATCTTTTCTTATGAGAAAATTAGACTCTTTACTCAGTAATCACAAAGCTGAGCTCAGTTTCTTGTTCCCAATGAAAAATCAGGTCTCTTTATTACAAAAATTGAACTGCTTTGTTAGAGATAAGCTTATACATTGTACAGATTTTCTGTTGCTTCTGGTAACAGAGTGCATAATCATCCAAAAATATAATGTTCTTTTTTTTTTTCTCTTTTGAATAACCCAGAAATCCCTTGCACTTACTTTGCAAGCCCGAGTTCAAAACCGGAGTCCCCGCCGAGACCCAAATGTGTAAAATGTTGTTATCGCAAACCTTTATTTATATGTTTGCTTACTTAGATCCACTTATTTGCTTTCACATTCTGGCTGTGAGCAAGATTGCGAAAAGCTAACTCAATTAATGAAGGTGGTTCTCAATATAAATTTGAACAAGAAACAATCTATCATCTGAAATATCAAAATAATCTCATAAAAAGAAAACAATTTACAAAGGGACTGATAATAGTTCTGAACACAGTGGAAATTAAGTCAATTTACAACTGGGCAGCCATCAACCTTAACCCCTCTTGCAGTTGGACAAGAAGCTAAGGGACAACCTTCTCCTTTATTTCCCCACCATTCAAGGCCAATATTCTTGGATCCCAGGGCAAGAAACAACAGCACTGTCATAAACGAAGTCCCGGCATCAAGGCCACCGGAGAGAATGTAATTGTATCGCTTCCACAATTCCGGTCTAAACCTAAAAACTATGAAACCAGAGATAAATCCAAGGAAGATCCAACTGTTGAAGTTTACTGCAGAAGCTGGAGGCATCATTGCTGTGGAACCCAAAAGGACAGGCATGTGGATGTGCTTTATCCATTTCTGCCCAGGGAATAATTTGTGGGCAAGCCACACTAGAAGAGGTGCTATGGCTCCACCAAGAAAGAACCAATTCACCTTCCCATATTCTCCAAGATCTCCGAAAATTCTTCGAGGGCCAACAAGCCCCCATATGACCGAGGCATCAAAGAATACACGATCCATAGGGCATGTCCAAGGGCTGTCACTGGGAAGCAAATTGGTATCACAAAGATTTGGAATGTCGGCCATTAACCACCAAGCAGTTACAGTGTATACCAGTACTGCTAACACTGTTCCAACTACCTGTAATGCCATCTTATTTAGATTTTGATTATGTATGCAAGTTATGTGCTCAGCTATTTGACATAAATTTGAGACAGGATTAAACTGACCTGAGCCATGAACATTGCTCTTGGAGGAATTTTCATGTAATGGCCAAGCTTGAAGTCAGCAAGAAAGGATAGAGCTTGAGACATGCTAATATATCCATATACCTTGAAGCACATGTTAGCAACAGGGCGCTCTGGGTAGATATACCCGATCACATATTCTGTAATTATGTTCAAACCTGGTTGCTGTTCACCAGCGAGAGAGCATAAGTATCAGAGACACTCTCACGGCACAAATTGTAAAAGAAACTTAAAAATAAATGGCAGGAAAGATATGTATTCATATCCATTGCACCATCTCTTTACCTGGTTTGTGGTGGCGTAGATGATACCAATTGGAAGAGTGAAGGTAACAGCAATACCACAAGCTAGCAACACACCCCACCAAGGCAACTGAAGTGACTCGTTGTAGTACTGGCAAGCAAAGATTATTGCAGCAATGTTCACCACAAGGATAACCCAAAACCACCACATCGGCACTGCATCATATACCTTCATCAGTTTTGTGTGTATATCTATTTTCTTATCATCGCTAAACGCACTTCTGGTTTGCCTCCATAGGTCACTGCATAAAGTATCCACAAATCAGAAAAAAAATAAAACCATAACAGACTTAACCATGAACAAAATTTTGTGCTTTCCTACCTTCCATTAAAGAGTATCACATGGACAAGTGTAGCAGATAGTGTGGCAAATCCGATACCATAAGTCACAGCAAATAAGAAGCAAAGATGTATAGAACCATTCTTCGCATAAGCATCCCTATCAAGATGAAAGTGCGAGTCGACAATGCTCAAAATATCATATTTTTCACCGTTTGCCATGAAAAGATCTTGAGAATATATGGGGAAGTTCTTGGCTTTGTAGAAATTGAACCAATAGCCAATTGGTATCAACACGTACATAAAAAGGCAGTAACCAACAGCAACATTGGCAGTGGCAAACCAGGGGCTAGCGAGAGGACTCGCAAGATATGCAGAAATTGTAGACCAGTCAAGTCCAATGGAACCAATTCCAAGTCCTTTCATCCCTGAACCCAATTGTTGGACTAGAACAGACTTGGGATCCAACCAACATACCCATGATATTGATGTCAACATAGTAAACAAATAGCCAGGCAAGACATAGTAAGCAAAACCGCTCGCCAAGACAAGAACAAAGAATTTATTGCGAGACATTCCCCCTTTTGGTCTTTTTTCTTTCTCATGTAAAGCACTGCAACATTTCCATTAATGTTATAGATTACGCATGAACTTAAAAAACACCTATTGTGCTGAATATGAATGAAATTCACAATAACAATAATACCTGAACAGAGAGACCTGAACCAAATTAGTTGGCCACCACATTTCCCCTGGCTCAACCAGATATTTCCTGAAAAGACCAGCCCAACCAAAGCCTAACACCTAAATTTCAAACGTCAAAGAAAAATTGCAAGATTAAACACGATTTAAAACCATTTAAGAAAATTCCTTTCTTCATCAGTGAGTTCAAACAAAGGAAATTTGGAGCAAAAAAAAAAATATTAGCGTTGGAGTAAAAATTGCAAAATCCACCCCAATAATTTCAAAAACTAGTTAACATTCCTCACAATTAGCGAAAAAAAAATTGCCCAAATCACTCTAAAATTTAATAAGAAATCCTGATTACACTGAAATTTCATTTCCCTTTTTCTCAAAACATTTAAGTACCAACAATTCATTTTGATCTAAACACATAGTTTCGACTTCAAAATACCATAACAATTTTCACATTGAATCCACAAATGCCTATATTTTTGAGTTACTTCGAGATCATTAGAACTTTCTCTTCTACTTCTAGTTAAATGACTACCATTCGGGCTAGTTTTTCTATAGAACAATTGACACTCAAAGTTCAGATAAAAAAAAAAATCTTATACAAGAACATGAAATTGAAAGGGTACCTGAGTGGTGAGCATAACAAGAAATGCTGGAAAAAAGGCGAGTTTTCTCTTATACAAGAGCTTAACCGCAGTCAAAATATGAGTGGCATAAACGGTTCCAGCCCCAGAGTTTGCAAAAATGGTAATAAGAACATGTTCCTTAATATTAAACGGCGCCGGATTCATACTAAACTCAAATAAAGAACTCTTAAAAAACACACGATGAGGGAGAATTCTAGCCATCAAATGACCGAGAGGAACAACAGCAATCTGAGCAGAAATTGCAGTGATCGTCAATGGCTGAGTTCGGTACCAAAAGAACTGGTTCACAAAGGAGAGAATAACACAAGAAAGAACTCCAAGAACCCACATTCTGAAAGTGACACAAGGCATGGAAGGATCATCAGTTTTGGGAACTGTTAAGTCTACTTGCTTTACACAACACACTTCATAGTTATTGTTACCCTCAACCTCCATGGCATGAACCTCGGATATTTCAGAAGCCATGAAGAATAATGTTTAGTTTTACGTGGAGAAAGAGTGAAAGATAGAGAGGAGAAGTGAAGTTTGAGAGGTTTTAAATAAGATTTAGATTTGGAAAATAGGCAGTTGGAAAGTTTTGGAGATAAGAGTAGGATTCTTGAGAGATTCCTCTACTGTGCTTTGTGTAGAAATTAAGAGAGAAAATAAATAATAATAATAATAATAATAATAAAATGATTAGTGTGTTATTAGGAAAGTCCCGAGAAAAAGTCAGAAGTGCATTTGGTTTTCATCATACAATATTATGATATTGTTAAATTTAAAAAAATAAAAAATCTTACAAACATCTTCGTATTTCGTAATATTTACAAAATGATATGATAAAAAATAAGTAAAAGGATAAATATAATAAATTTAACTTTTTATTTCACTTTTCTATTTATTTTTTATCATATCATTTTATATGAAAATCATAACACTTACAAAATGATGTAACAAAAAATAAATAAAATTATGAATATAATAAATTTAACTTTTTATTTTACTCTTCTATTTATTTTTTATCATATCACTTTGTATAAAAATCATGGAAAGTATAATATTATTATATATATTACAAAGTTGAATACATTTTGGTCAAGTGGAATCTCATAATACAAATTTAACTCATATGTTACACGGCTAGGCTTGTCTTTCTTGTTGAAGGGTTTTATTTTCTTTCACGTGCAATCTCATTTGTTTGTTTACTGAGAAAAGTGTAAAGAAAAAAAAGGATAAAGTGAGGCCTCTTAGTTTCAATTAATATAGGATATGGGTATAATTAAATAAGAAATAATTTAATAAATTGGTGGGATATTTTGTTTCAATCTTGTCTCATTGGCACTTTGATAGATTGATGCGATCTCTTGTTCAAATCTTATACCATCCATGGAATCTTTGACAAACAAAAATGACCAACTTGTATTGAATTATATCCACCAATTTCTATGTGGAAACAAACCAAGAAATTGATGTTATCAAGTTTAAAATATTTAAAACTAAAAACAATATCTAATTTTCTTATAATTAATGTAAAATATTAGAAAAATGCAAGAAAATATTATTGATTTTAATTATAACTATACATGTAACAATATATTTTTCATGTTCTATGTTCCTAAACTAAAAACAATAAATGAAGAAATAATAAATTAAAGTCATAAAAGTTAGGCAAACTCTAAGTCAAGCGGGTACAATTTATCCATTTATTATTTTTATTTTTTTCAGTTAAAGAATATTAAAGTTGGTGCACGCGCATGAAAGCAAAGTTGACAAACTTTAAAGAAACAAGCATCATGAAACGACAACGTAGCAGTCAAGCTGGTGTTATCGTTTAGTAATAATTTTGTTTAACGAATTTTCCAAAATCAGAAAACACCGACTGACAATCGCTTTCTTCAATCAATAATACTAGGTACACCGAAATATTATCACCGAATTTTTATATCGACTTATGTGTAACACGTCTTTTCATTTTTTTATAATTTTTTTCTAGTGAACGATCGTCCATCAAATTTGGACGGCCGTTCACTCATATGGACGCCCGTCCATATTATATGGACGAGCGTCCATATTCGAGGGACGGACGTCCATACGTCCCTATTAAAATAAAATTAAAAAATTTATAAAACCTTAAAGACTATCGTCCATCCATTATGGACAGCCGTCCATTAATTTTGGACGGGCGTCCACAAATAATGGACGCGCGTCCTTTACCTACATATAAAAAAAAAATTTCTTTGGGGACGGCCGTCCACCATTGTGGACGACCATCCCTTAATTTTGGACGGGCGTCCGCAATAAAGGGACGCCCGTCCATACTTTAAAAAAAAAAAAAAAAATTGTAAACTTTTTCGTTTTCATTCCCCATCTCCTCTCTTTTTCTTCTGTCTTCATTCCCCATTACCTCTCTTCTTCTTGTCCACTTTACGCTTCCAGCAAATAATCCATAACATAACATGAAAGCAATCATCAACATTAACTGCAGATTATATAGGCACACTGTCAACTACAAAATTTGCAATCTTTATACAAACGATTTTGCCATTATTATGTCATTGTCTCATTGTCTGTTTTAAGAAAAGAAAGATTTTTGTTTAAAAAAGAAAGAAATGGGCTGTTCGCCCAAATGAAGAAGAAGGAGACGAGAGCAGAGGGAGAAAACGAGAGCAGAGTAGAAAAAGAAAAAAAAAAAAGAGAAAGAAAAAAGAGAAAACGAGAGGAGAAGAGAAGAAAGGAAAAAAAGAGGCAAAGGAGAGAAAGAAGAGAAAGGAGAGTAAAGAAGAAGAGTGGAGACCGAGAGGTAAAGTGAGAGAGGAGTAGTGAGAGTGTAGTGCATGCATGGGGTTAGGAAGCTTTTTCTTTAATTGTTTCTTCTTTGTTGTGAGAGTGGGTGTTTGATCTTGAGTTTTTGGGTGTAAGTATGGAAGAGAAGAGTGTTTGACAGTCCATTTGAGTTGCGGCTGAGCTAGAATAGTGAGTGGATTTAATGAAAACTTTCCTTAAAAAATTCAGATCTACGCTTGCATGTTAATTGTGGTATGCCATGTTTGTGTTTTGATGAGGTTTGAGCTAAATGTGAAGCTTGCTTGATTTACCTTCTCTGCATGTTTTCGGACATATTTTAGAGTGGTTGATTTGAGTTTTAAAATGGAATGTAATTTGCTTGCTAATTGAACTTGCATGCATTTGGTTGTTTCAATAAATTGTGTTGGTGGCTGGATACCTTGATTACATGTAATCGGCTGGAATGTCTTTGTGATAATAGATTGAATGGTGTTTTAAAATGATGGGAGTTAAGGTAATTTGGTTGGCAAGTGTATTTGGGTTATTGAGAGGTTGTCAACTGAGCCGAGTTTTGGGTAAGCTTTGCTTGTCAAATGCTTGGAAACGTTAGTCTTATTTGGGTAGAGATGAATGTAATTGTTGGTAATTAGTTGAAGGAAGAAAGTGAGTAGTTAGAGAAGGGATGTTGACGTGTGCAGTAAGTGAGTTTTAAATGTGCTTTTTCCTTTATTTTGCAAATACTAGCACTAAACCCCCATGAACGCTCCTTGTTAAAGACTCGATAGAAGTTGAGAGTTTGGATAAAAGTTGTGGATAGAGACTGGATCTTTTTGGGTTCTGTTCTTCTTTCACAAAGAACTGATATAGGAGGTTGACAAAGTGTGCCTATAATACATGGTATCACCCAAACAACCCAATATAATTCTTCTGCTAAATCTCAATCTCGTCTTCTACTCATCGAAACGAAACAATGAAGATGTATATCCTGCTATGGGCTTAACTCAAATCTTCAATCGCAAGATTCAATCGCCACATCCGGTGCTTGTGAGTGAAGAAAAAATGGTGGTATTGACTGAGAAGAATTTCAGCAACTTCATCACTCAGAATCAGCAGGTAATGGTGGTTTTTTACTCGTCACAGTACGTCCGGAGAAATAGACTATCACCAAAATTATCAGCAGCGGCCATGAAACGTAAGGGCAATCTGGTGGTTGCTAAAGTGGATGCTAAAAAAGAAAAACTGTTGGCAAAGAAGTACAAGATTGGGAATTATCCTACGGTATATTTCTTCTACTACGGTTTCATAGAAGAGTTTTATGTTGATCAACAAATTTGGTTACCTGAAGAGACCGGAAAGACTGAGAAGATAAAACTTACGAAGTGCAAAGATGATGAAGAACAGACAAAAGCCAAATGCATGGACGGGCGTCCAAAAATTATGAACGACCGTCCAAAACGAAGGGACGGCCATCCACAATTGGTGGACGGGCGACCCCAAAGAAATTTTTTTTTTTTTTCATATTTGGGTGAAGGACAGTCGTCCATTATTTGTGGACGCCCGTCCAAAATTAATGGACGACCGTCCATAATGGATGGACGGCCGTCTCTAAGGTTTTACAAATTTTTTAATTTTATTTTAATAAGGACGGACGTCCATATTATATGGACGCCCGTCCCTTGAATATGGATGAACGTCCATGTGAGTGAACAACCGTCCAAATTTGATAGACGACCGTTCACTAAAAAAAAATTATAAAAAAATAGAAATACGCGTTACACGTAAGCTAGTACAGAAATTCGGTGTTAATATTTCAATGTCCGTAGTGTTATTGTTCTTCAATTATCTTTCGCTTTTCACATTCCAAAAGTTTGTATATTTGTCACCAATTTATTGCAATGACTTCAACTCATTCTTCTCATCTGACGATAAGTTCAGAGAGCACCCCTCTTTTTCTACTTCAACTATTGAGTAAAGTTTTCTAAAATCAAAACCCACACCTACCTTAGATCCGCTAGGAAATTTGACGGTAGCAAGTAAATCACCGTAACAATTTTCAACGGTTTTCAATTGTAATTTTTAAAACACCTATTTTCAAGTGATTTTAATAATTTTTTAAAATAATAAATTTATATTTATATATACCTATAAAATTTTGACCGCTTCAACTAATACTTGAAAATTTTATTTTTTCAATTACAAGTAAAAATTCTTTATTTACTTTCTACTTATTAGTATTTTATAACTTCAAATGTGATAAAATCTCTTTAATCTTCTTTACAGCATCTAAAATGATTGAAAAATTATATTTCTATTTTTTCAAGAAAACATCCAGAAATGAGATTTTAATATATTTTTTTTATGATTGTTTAAAATTATTTTATATTTAATATGGTTAAAGACCCACATAATATGGTTAATTTTTTTTTATTTATATATAATTAGAATAGTTTTGTAGTGTATAGAGTATTTGTGGAATAAAGTTTTAAAACCAACAAAAACATCTCAATTTGGGGTGTTTTATAAACATCTCAAAAATACACTACACTGATTTTGAGGGGTTTTTGAACCGGTCAAAACCAATACATAAAAAATCTGACAAATAATAGTTTTAAAACACTTCAAAACTAGTCTAATTAAAAACCCCTCAAACTAATGAAAAAAATAAATAAATAAACCTCTCAAACAGACCCTTAGTTATGCACATTATATTCATTCTTCCCCAGTTCCAAACTCCCTCCAGGCTCCATCACACCAATCCACTAATATTACCAATCATCATCCACAATAGCGGTCTTCTTAAAATTACAAACACAAATCTGAGATAATGTCNATATATTACAAAGTTGAATACATTTTGGTCAAGTGGAATCTCATAATACAGATTTAACTCATATGTTACACGGCTAGGCTTGTCTTTCTTGTTGAAGGGTTTTATTTTCTTTCACGTGCAATCTCATTTGTTTGTTTGCTGAGAAAAGTGTAAAGAAAAAAAAGGATAAAGTGAGGCCTCTTAGTTTCAATTAATATAGTATATGGGTATAATTAAATAAGAAATAATTTAATAAATTGGTGGGATATTTTGTTTCAATCTTGTCTTATTGGCACTTTGATGGATTGATGCGATCTCTTGTTCAAATCTTATACCATCCATGGAATCTTTGACAAACAAAAATGACCAACTTGTATTGAATTATATCCACCAATTTCTATGTGGAAACAAACTAAGAAATTGATTTTATCAAGTTTAAAATATTTAAAACTAAAAACAATATCTAATTTTCTTATAATTAATGTAAAATATTAGAAAAATGCAAGAAAATATTATTGATTTTAATTATAATTATACATGTAACAATATATTTTTCATGTTCTATGTTTCTAAACTAAAAGCAATAAATGAAGAAATAATAAATTAAAGTCATAAAAGTTAGGTAAACTCTAAGTCAAGCGGGTACAATTTATCCATTTATTATTTTTATTTTTTTCAGTTAAAGAATATTAAAGTGGGTGCACGCGCATTAAAGCAAAGTTGACAAACTTTAAAGAAACAAGATCATGTAACGACAACGTAGCAGTCAAGCTGGTGTTATGATTTAGTGATAATCTTGTTTAACGAATTTTCTAAAATCAGAAAACACCGAATGACAATCGCTTTCTTCAATTATCTTTCGCTTTTCACAGTCCAAAAGTTTGTATATTTGTCACCAATTTGTTGCAATGACTTCAACTCATTCTTATCATCTGACGATAAGTTCAGAAAGCACCCCTCTTTTTCTACTTCAATTATTGAGTAAAGTTTTCTAAAATCAAAACCCACACCTACCTTAGGATCCGCTAGGAAATTTCATGGTAACAGGTAAATCACCGTAACAATTTTTAACGGTTTTCAATTGCAATTTTTAAAACACCTTAAAGTTTATTTTGAAGTGATTTTAACCATTTTTTAAAATGATAAATTTACGTATATAAAATTTTCACCAACTTTAACTAATACTTGAGAATTTTATTTTTTCAATTACAAGATAAAAATTCTTTATTTGTTTTCTACTTATTAGTATTTTATAACTTCAAATGTGATAAAATCCCTTTATTCTTCTTCATCATTCTTTGTAACATCTAAAATGATTGAAAAATTATAACTCTACTTCTTCAAGAAAACATCTAGAAATGAGATTTTACTATTTTTTTTTTTTTTATGATTGTTTAAAATTATTTTATATTTAATATGGTTAGAGACTCGCATAATATGGTTAATTTTTTTTTTTTTTATATAATTAGAATAGTTTTGTAGTGGATATAGTATTTATGGAATAAAATTTTAAAACCAACGAATTTGGAGTGTTTTATGAACCTCTTAAAAATACACTACATTGGTTTTGAGGGGTTTTTGAGCCAATCAAAACCAGTGCATAAAAAATCTGACAAGTAATGATTTTAAAACACTTCAAAACTAGTCTAATTAAAAACTCTTCAAAACCAATGAAAAAAAAAATCTCCCAAACAGACCCTTAGTTATGCACATTATATTCATTCTTCCCCAGTTCCAAACTCCCTCCAGGCTCCATCACACCAATCCACTAATATTACCAATCATCATCCACAATAGCGGTCTTCTTAAAATTACAAACACAAATCTGAGATAATATCTCCAGATGGTCAGAACTAAATCCAACCAAACCTCAACCAACAATTAGAAGGTTCAACAACGAGCATTACCTAAGAGACTAGTTTTTCAAGCTCATGTAAATGACTAGTGTGTGATATACAAGGCATCGCTCCGATTTGTAGAAAATCCTTTGATATACTCAACAAAATCCTCAATGGAGAAATTGAATACTAAAAATGGATTTCAATAACAAAATACAGTAACACAAGTTACTATTATCATGGAGCAACAATTGATGAAGAGTAAACTAAACTAACAGAGAATCGACAAAACGAATGGCAACTATTTGGTTCAACGGCAAAGCTCAGTGACATGGTAGCAGATGGGTTAACTTTTTCTAAACTGAAGTAGTCCTCACAAATCAGAACTTGAATTGCACTATCGAGACCTTAGTCAGAAAACTTAGGCACCCGATGATGGAAATTAACTGAAACACAGATCATTCTCAAAGCTAGTAAGATCAGCAAGTACCTCATTCGTGACACTTTATGCAATATAACACTAAATTTACAGGCACCATTGTAACTTTTTTTTTTTTTTTTTTTGGTATGGTAATTGGTGGCCACCCCTTACCCTTGCTACAACTTGAACCCCTTGGTCTTTTAACTCCCCCATCCATCCTTCACTCCATCAGGCCAGAAGGGTTGGTTCACCGTTATAACTTTTTCAACAACATAACCAAGACTAAACGTATCTAACACTCCAATGTTTCAAAATAAAAATTTAAAATCCTTATCAACTAAAATAACAGGCAAAAACGGGTGCCTGACCTATGTTCATGTGTAAACTACAATTTAAAAAGTTTAAGCTACTCAAGACCTCAAAGACTTGACTGTAAAATGTTAAACCCATAAAGCAAATTCAATGTCTATGATGAAATTATTTTTGCACTATGTTACAGCCTTGGAAATTAAATAATGAGATAAAACAAATAAAGCATACTCTAGTTATATCAGAAATTCTAATTAGCAAACATGATAAGCAGGAAGCCAGGAACCTGTTCCGTATTTTTTGTTTTAAACGAGACTTCATAATAAAAAAAAAAAATGATTTCAATCTATGCAACCTAACACACTTACATTGCTAATTTTACATCACAACGATGATTCCTAATGACAAAATATAAAGAAAAGTTGGTTTTCACATGCTCAACCAGAAACAAATTTAGCAGCGTCTAGGTAAAACCCATGCCAAGATACTTTGAAGATTAAAAGCAAATAGAGTTTGCAGTTATCTAATAGAAAAACACTCTTCCAACTTGAGCAATCGCCTCGCAATTATCGAAACTACATATTTAAAGTTCATCCTATTGGAACCACACAATCAGAGATTGGTATAATGCTCGAAACTGCAACGCTGTTGTACTGTCTCTCATTATCATAATTCCCCCAGTTTGCACAAACGCTCCTACAGAGATTTGTTGTTTAAAGATTTAGATGGGTTTAGCGCTTTTTCATGATATCTTAGACGGCATCTAAAGGCCATTAATAATAAAAGGTCGAGCGGATAAAAGAGTAAGCATCACCTGAAAAATCGCATAATTCAACGCTTTCCACGATGCCCGCCACCTGACCTTGCACCAGGATAGCGAGCAAATTGCAACCTTAATTTAACTGAGTCACGGTCATGCTCATCAAATTTATAACCTGCAAAATCGAGCTTAACTATTTTACGCAGCACAATGATGACACGTAGCTAATAAGGCCATCAATAGAGAGGTGTTATAACACGTGCAATGATTACCGCAACCTAAGTACATAGACTCAAACTTTGCCTAATAGAAAGTACCGCCACAGGCTGCATCACATACTCAATATCTAGGTTGACCATAAAGCATCTTGAGGCGGAACGTGAAAATAACCAGCTCCCTTCCCAAGGAAAAGGCCACTCACTAGGCTGTTCTCTCTCTAACATACACATACAGAAGCAAAGTGAAATCACTTTCCCTGAACCATTCATTGCTTCAGCTAGCCCATGGCTCCAACAAGATGCCCTAATGCAGAAGCAAGAAAAAAACCTAATATCTTCCCAAGATAAGTGTCGTTCACCAGACTTTTTGTTCTCTAAATCAATACATACACGAAGCTGGGTAAATACCTTGCCCCCAACCACTTGTTGCCTCAGCATGTCTGTGGCTTCACAAGCGCAGCAGAAAATAGAAAAAGGGCAAGAGCAACATGACATGGTGATATTTACGGCTTTCTTGACTAGACAAAGTACTTGACCCTGTTTAACATGGTTACTAAAACAGAAAACTCGGCAGTCCACACCAGTCAAGTTAGCCAATCAATCTAGTTGATCAAGCTAGAGAAATGTCAAGACCTGATAAAGGAGACATAAAAGAGCTAGAAAATTTGATTCGTCAAATTGACTAAGAAAGTGAGTCATTCCATTCATTGTAAAATTTTATAGTGCCTAAATGATAGTTGAAAGTAGATATATAGAATGCAGTAAAGGAGTCAAAGATGATAAACGTGGGTTAATCATCGTTTAGCCCTTAGTTATTGATGAACACTGTAAAACACCATGTCTTACTTGAACATGTTTCTCTGATACACCAGAACTCTTTGTTGTAAGTATTTATATTACAGAGACAATAATAAGCCTTTGCCTGTTATTTCTAGGTGTTCCATTAGGCGAATATTTTTATTAATTACAGCTTATTGCATTATACTATTTCACACAAGCTATGCAAGCTCATATCAAGGCAACAAATTTCCGATATTTACATCGTCCAAAATACAATCACTTTAGGGGATTCTCTTGACCTCCAATATACATGAGAAAAAAACTTGCTATATCCATCAACATTCAATTAGGTATATACAACTAGATTACATAACACCTAATGTCAGTTATTATGGAAGCATGAATTAATGTATATCATCAGGCATAAATATGCTGATATAGGCAACCCACCAAAAGTGGAAGCAATGTTAATGGGTAGAGATACATAAACTAAAATTCCTAACAGTTGAAGCAAACTGCAAATAAAATAAAAGTCACCTTGTAAGGCATCCATGGCAGTGGCTGCATGGGCAGGACTTGCAAAATCAACAAAACAAAGAATCAGTGGATCTCCTCCAGGCTGCAAGGATAAAATTCATCAACTACATAGTATTGAGTCTAAATCAGGAAAAAGTATTATAACTAAACAATTATATACTTACATGTCTTGATTCCTTGCTTACAAGTCTAACTTCTTTGTAGCCAACAAAAGGACGAAATATATCTGTCAACCTATGTGAAGGAACAAATGCAGTAGAGAAAGACGGGAACTTAGACAATCATTTACCATGGTAACCAATGAAAGGATACGAGCAACTTCCCGTCGTGTACAATCAGAAGGCAACCCCTCCACAAATAATGTACTGGAAGCATCAGGTGGAAGAGGAATCTCAGCCCTTCCACCTCCTAATCCCAAGGCTCTGTCTTTTGCGCTTACCCCAGGTTCTAAGCCCCCAATACCCCCGATACGTGGATCATCAACAGAACGGCCAGGCATTCCTCCACTCATGGATCTTGCAGACTGCCCCCCACCATAAGATTGAATTTGCTGGTACATGTTATTGATTCATTACGCCTAAACACAAATTTACAAAGAGTAGTTGGGAACAAAGTCTAAAGGAGTCAAAAATAAAAAGAATACCGCACTACGCAGATAACGATCATAGGATGCTCCAATTGAGTCAGTATCTCTCATTACACGGATAGCTCCTCTATCTTCATCACGGGAATAATAACTAGGCAATTCATGGCCACTAGGGATATCTACAATATTAAACGACTACTTCATCAAATAAAACTACCAACGAAAGATGAAACATAATTACAAGTGATTCTAAATTCAGAAGATGCAAACAAGCTTGACAAAAAATTCCTGTAACTTTATGCATAAATATCAGGGATAATTGTTGCAACCAATCATAATGTTCATCAAAGGCTAGAGCTAGAGCATTTAGAGTTTTAGCATACAATAATAATCCAGATTTTTAATATACAGAGTGCTTAACCACACAAGGACAATAATTTTCCACAGCTTTCCCAGACATAGCAAAACTAAAGCAAATCTCTTGGTTCATACATTGTATTGATAATACCAATGACAATGACAGTGCATGAACACAGACATACATACAAACCAATCTTTTGAAAACATGACAGAAACACAATGAGAACACAATAACACCGACTCTTTATTATGATCACAATCACCATGATATTGTAGCATTGTACTTTTATTACAATTATGTTTTTCAATATTTCAAAGGTTGTTCAACAAGAAGCCAAACAAAATTTATAAAGACCAGTTAACATATTCATAGACTTTTCACAAATGTTATGGATGAGATCCCAAAGCAGATAATGAAATTAGTTCATAGCCTCTTTAGCATTGAAGAATATAGTTACACCATTATCAATAACAGATCGTCAACCAATCTTAGTTCACAGCCTCTATAAACAGTGAAACTAAATTACACATCACTAATCTATTATTTCAATCATAGACTGATTGAACTGATATCTACACTGGATTCTAATATTTCAACAGACCAAACTAGACAAATCCGTAGCCTTGTCAAAATTGAAATAACTCAATAGAACAACAAAATAACCCCTTCTAATAAGACAAAATAACCCCTTTTAATAAAGACAGTCAAACTTGAAAACCCAACGAAAGTCATTAATAACACAGAACATAATAAAGAAACAGGAATAAGCTTGCAAAATGCAATTTACCCAAAAAGAAATAAAAACACTTTCAGCCATGTGAACAGTTTCCAAAACAATTCGTCAAATATTCCTGGATGGTTAAGGCGAGCTTTCATGGATTTGAGCTTTTTTAAAAGTCACAAGGAAGGAGCAGTGACTTTCACATTGCCATTGCTTGAGAAAAAACTAAATGGAAACCACATGCAGCAAGGAAATATCCCAAGTTGGTGCGACTGGCAGTACCTTGCAGAACTTCAAGGTAAAACTATACTTTTCCACAAGACAAACTCTTATACACAACGTGAAAACTTGAGAACAAAAGCAAAACATACAACCTGGTTCTTCCAAGGAAAACATAGAGATCAGTCCTAAAAGGATATAAGAGAAACCTAAAACTTGGGGTTAAAAAAAGGAAAAAGAAGTGATATAGAGAAACAGAATCTCTTGGTAAAATATATGCCTACAATTACAAAATAGTTCCCTACGTGGTTAAATAGAGGAAGAGTATTAATGTTGCTAACCTTAATTACTTTAGAATTTAGACTTAGTTGATGAACAAATAACAATGACTAGGTGGTTGGGTAGAACTCACCTTGGAAAACCAATTTGCCAAGGGAGAGTGCCCAACTCCTTATAAATCACTTAACCCCTCCATTCCTTTTTAATGTGGGATACCTAACACCACCACGCTTCTGCAGCCAACGTCCACATCGACCTCTTTACCTCTTGGGTGACTTTGTAGATCCCCTTTTCCTCCTCAGGCCAATACGTCCTTTTCCATCAGAATAACAGCCCGGGACCAAGGTCAATCTTCCATATAGGTGCAGAATCATGCTCTGATATTAATTGAATGAGCCTAAACCTTGGGTCAAGGGCCTAGGTGGTTGGGTCAATGTTTTAAAACTCGGCCACACCTGACCAATTGAACCGGTTCGACTAGGAAACGGCCACTGAGCCGGGTCGGGCCGGCCTTAAAACCGGGGGTGTGAATTCACCCAGTATGACCCGTGATTGGACCAGGGTCACTGTAGCAACCCGCCAGTCCAACCAATTTTGGGGGAAAACCAAGTGAATCCCAATTTCAAATCACGACAACTTTCAGCTGGTGTTCAGCTATCAAACAAGAATCTGGGTTAGGGGGCTTTGAAGGGTGGATCACGGTAAGTCAGGAGGTGTTGTCAATTAAGTTTTAGTCACCGGAATCGCCGGAATTTGGCCAAGAACGGTGAAACCCTAGCTTTTGATTGTCGGTAATTGGTGGGTGGAACGGCTTAGGAACTTTGGGGGTTTTGTAGGGGAGTAGACAGTGAGTCTAAGGGTGGTGGTTGGAGTTTTCGCCGCTCAAAAGCTGACAAAGAACAAATAAAAACAGGTCCTTGGCGTTTAACTAAAGAACTGATAAAAAAGATGATGAAAAACTCAAGACCCACCAATACGCAGTGCAAGATGAAATAGAACACGATGGTGATTATTTAACCACAGAAAAGACACCAAACTGATCCAGCAGATAAACTCAACCATCATGTAGCCTAAAATTACGTGTAATTACTTAAGCAATTACAAATCCCCAATATTCTAGGGGATTCACCACTTCTCATCATGAACATACTCAAGATAAACAGCACTAACATCCTGTGCTTAAAAACTTTGTTATTGATCCATGGCTGTAGTACTTGATAACTCAAAACAAAAGCTTAATACAATGAACTAAAAATGAAACACCATGCCACATGAACCCCAAACAGTTGCTTATATTCTAATTCCAATCACACAGTTCATAACAACAATTCTGAAACAAATCCATCAAACAATTATTGCAGATATTGCAAACCCCAAATAAACTTTAGTAACTAATAAACTTACACAATTATTTGAAACAAAAAACAAAATTGGTGAATTGAATTAAATTAAGGATAAAACAAAACAAACCTAATTTAATTACCATAAAATTATGTTTGGTTACCGAGAAAATTTACCATTTCGAAAAGGGGAAAGAATGAGATAACAAATTTAACAAAGGTTAGGGCTTCAAAGACTCAAAAACTCCACCGAACAATAAAAAGAAAAAAAAAAAAAAAAGACATGACCAGAAAGGAAATATAAAAGATATGAAGAATAAAATGAAACTAAATTTAAAAGGAGTGAGTGAAAATAGAAACCGTAGTCGGAACGAGGTCGTTTGGACACGAGAGAAGGGACGGTGGAGGGCGGGGGTTGGCGAGAGTCGCTGTAGCGCCAATAAGCGTCCGCCATTTGTTAATTTGGTTTGGTTGAAGAGATTGAGAAACAGAGAAACGGAAGGTTAAGTAAAGCTAAGTATTAATTAAAAAAAAATAAAAAAGATTGGTTTAGTTGGGTTCTTGTTTCTGGACGATAAAAGGAAGAACTCTGTATGCGTGCAGCAGATCCGCCCATGTTCTGGCTTTTCTTTTCTTTAAACCAAAAAAAAAAAATGTATTTGGGTACTGTTAAGTGTTAACAATCCTTTTAAAATAATATATAAAATAAAAAACATAAAACCGCATTCAATTTTTAAATTATTTATATAATACTAAGAAATATACAAATTCACTCATAAAAATATAATCATCTGATTTTAAATTAAAATATATAAAGTTTATATGTAAAATATCACTCCATTTATTTCTCCGTTTTCTAATTTTAGAAACGAAAATTAAAAAAGTGAACTAATATTACATATTTTACAAAGTAAAAATAAAAATAGTACTTTATTTGTAACAAATAAAGTATGGTTAGTTTGTATATCTACAAGGTGATGTTTACATTTTCATTATGAGTAATGTTATGTGCACTAATCAATGTGTACTAATCCAAGTATTAATATTGGAAATTTGAAATTTTTTTTAGAGAAAATTTCAAATTTTTAATGTTAATACTTGAATTAGTACACATTGGTTTATGCACATAGTTTTATTCTTTTATTATTCAATGACAACTAAAAAAAAAAAATAATAAAGAGGATGATTAAATTAAATACATTATTTTTACATAGCTCAAAATTAAGATTTGATTGTATAAACCTTTTTGAGGTGATTTAAAGTTTAAAAATTATCCTGTTCAATAAGCTAATTTAAAATGTTAAAAGATGTCGTATTTTTTAAAAAAGTTTTGCTTTATATATATTCTTTTAATAATTTAAAAGGTTATCAAGGTAACTCTTCCCAGACTTTATTTTTAATTCTAAAAATTAAAAGTCTTTATAAATTTAAAAAAGTGTCATAATAAACATTTTTGTATATTATAAATTATAAATTCTGAAAACAGAAATTATTAAGAAAGTGAAGAGATTAGTGAATTAGAAATTATAAAACAAAATAACGTAATTAAAATGATAAAGTCATTTATTAAGTAGTTGATTCTCATTCCTATCTTTGATTGAACTTGTTATCTATTGGTCAATTGTCTAATTTAGGATACGATGTTCAATTTTCTTCTACCGGTTGTACTGATCAATTGTTGTATTAAGAAAAGTTGGACGAAGAAAAGGGTATAATATAAGTATTTTTATATGCATAAAGTGAAATGTTTAATGTAAATATGCATATATTTTCATATGTACGAAATGGTTATGTTTTGTAAAATTGTTTAGCTTTGAACTATGTTTGCATTAAATTGAGTACATTCAAATATTAAACATAATGTCATTCTTTTATATTATTGAAAATGACTGATTCTATTTATAAATGACATTACAAATTAATTGAAATGTATTAATTTATTTAAGCTTGCAATTTATTAAAAGGTTTTTGCCAAAAACATTCACAAAAAAAATCCCAACTTCGTTTATTGACATAATCTATATACATACTACCTTAGATATATACAGTAACATCAAATCTTTTAGCACTATCAAAAAATTTCTCCCAAGGAATAAGAGTAACATCTAACTGTAAGTAAAAAAAAAACTACTATAACAATCTCTCTACAATCCCATGATCACCGCCCCACAATGTCACTTTCTATAATATTTTTGTAAAACCCCAAACGATTTGGATATTACATCTATAGTAGCTTGTAAATGAGTTTACAAAATCAAGAATTGGTCAAATGTCACAATTGAGTAATACAAAACTCGTCTGGTTGCTAAAGGGTTTACACAAGGGTATCATTGATTATGAAGAAACTCTGTTTCTTGTTGCATATTTATCTACAATTTGAACTTTCGTTGCTATTTTTTTTTTTTTTTTTATTGGAGATATCCAGACCAACTTATGCGTATTTCGACTAGTCTCTCAACCCCGAATAAGGCTTCCGAAATAGGGGAAACCCTATGATCTGTGGCCAACAATATTACTAACCGTTCTTATAATTTGAATCTAAGATCACAGGGGGAGCAAACCCTTTGACCCCAAACCTTTACCACTCAGACAACCAATTGTTGGTTAATTTTTATTGTTTTGTTGCTATACAATGATGAAAACTCTGCTAGATGGATATAATTTTTTTTTTTCTCAATGGTAACATGGGAGAAGAAATGTATATGCAACCACATCTTAGTTATGACCATTTACTTAAAAAAAAAAAATGTGCAAGTTACACAAAGTACTTTAAGAACTTAAATAAGCTCTTTAGGCGAGGTTTTCTTAGTTCAACTATGACAATAGGGTTTTCAATCAATCTTCGAAAATAAATCGTAACAGTATTATTCTTTTGTTATATGTTAATGATATGATCATTACTAGAGATAGAGATGATCCTGTTGTTATTCGAGAGCTTAAAGCCTTCCTTACAAAGCAATTTGAGATGAAATATCTTAGTACTCTCAGTTATTTCCTTGAGCTTGAAATATCCTCTTCATCTAACGGTTATTGACTTATTGTAACGCCTAACTTTATTTCTTTTTAAGTAATAAAGTTTATTGATTCATTTTCTTCTCGATTATGATGAATAAGTTATATATATATAGTTTAATATTGTTTGAAGTCTAATATTTTTATATGTTAAAATAGACTTGTTAAGGAGTTTTTTAAAATTTGTTTCACTAAAAAATTTCAAAATAAATTACTTTTGGCGAATTTTTTTAAGCCCACTATATAAAACTGAAAATTTTGTTTTCCTTTTCATAATAGTGAACGTTTTATGAAAATTGTATTTTCTGAGACCTTTTTTTCAAATTCTGATTTTTGTATTGTAAAATAACACAATTATCTTTCAAATCCAAGTGATTTCATTGAAAAATTCATTTTGTACAAATTATGGTATTTTTTCAAAGGTTGACTTGCAATTCTGAAATTTATTGGACATTATTGAATACTGTGAAACAAATATTTATTTTAATGTTTTTCCAAACGCTGAAAATTTTTCAATTTTTATTGTCACATTCTGGATGTGTCTAATAGGACCTGAAAAAATTTGAGAATAATTGGACAATGTATTAGTTTGTTAAAAGTCAAACAAGGAGGCTTACTCAGTATAAAAGTTTTGTAGACAGAACTGAGTGGTTAAAAGTTAAAGGCAATATGAAAGGTTTTTCTTCAAGAGTTGATTTCTGAAATTTTTATATGAAGTTTGTTAAGCTTAAAGAGTATTTGAACTTTATGAAACAAGAAACCCTAAGTTCTCAATCAAGCAGTATTCACAGTGTTTAGAAGAGAAAACAATAAGAGCATAAATAAAAATAAAGAACACACATCAATTATAGTGGTTCGGTAATCAGTGGATTATCTACATCCACTCTTCAAGGTAGTAGGGATTTATTTACTATATGAAAGAAAAACTTTATAGAGCTTGTAGATCCTGCTTACAAAATAGATTCCCAGGAAAACCCCTCTGTAATTACACCTGAAAAAGACCCAAGAGTGCCTCACCTCTCATACATCAAAACAACATAATTAACATATAATTTATACATGGAAGAAAGGAATAAATCTATAACAACCAGACTTACCAACGCCGTTTGATTCCATCTCATGCTTTTCAAGCTTCCACCTCAATCATCTTACAACAAACTTTCTCTCTCTATAACCAAGAGAGAACAATCGAGAAAGAGAATAGAAGATTTCAGGTCAAAACCAATTTAGGTCGCCAAACAAATATCCAAATAGGAAATTCTAGTAATGTCCCTTTTCTTTTGTCAAATTCCTTTGACCATACACAAATTAAGTCTGACTTCTACATAGTCACAAATCAAGAGCCATATCACCACAAATCTCCACCTTGGCATCTGATTTTCCTTATTCCCTACTGCCCTGAGAACCTTTCAACTTTACTCAATATGAAGTAGGCTCTTGAAGAGCCCTAGTTTATCCAAAGTGACAACTTTTGGTAAACATATCTACTAGATTTTCCTTCCCGAGAATCTTCTCCACCTTGTTGACTTTCTCTTCAATCATATTTCTGATGAAGTGCGATCTGACATCAATGTGCTTTGATCTCTCATGAAAAGCTTGGTTTTTTACACAAGAAGATAGCACTTTGGCTATCACTTTTGATTGGGATTTGACTTTGATTAAATCCCAGCTCACTGAGCATTCCCCTAAGCCATATTGCTTCCTTGGCAACTTCTATGATTGCCACATACTCAGCTTCTATAGTCGATAGGGTCACAATAGCCTGCAAATTAGCTTTCCACCAGACTAGATTATTCCATAAAGAGAATACAAAACCAGTCATTGATTTTCTGTTATCAGGATTCCCAACATAATCAGTATCAACACATCCTATAATAAAATCTAGCAAGTTTCTTCCCTTACTATACACAATGTCAGTTGACATTGTTCCCCTAACATATCTTAGAATCCATTTCACTGCCTCCCAGTGAGTTTTTCCAAGATTACTCATAAATCTACTCACATAGCTTACTGCAAAAGCAAGATCTGGTCTTGAACTGACCATAAGATACATTAAACTACTTGCAGCATTTGCATAGGGAACATTAAGCATTTCCCTTTCCCTTTCCTTATCTTCAGAACTAGGACACTGATTTATGCTTAGCTTAAAATGTTGTCCCATTGGAGTTCTAACAGGTTTACACTCAATCATATTAAACCTTCTAATAATCTTCTCAGCATATTCCTTTTGAGATAGCACAATCCTTCCTACTTTTCTATATCTCTCAATATTCATTCCTAGAATCTTTCTAGCCTACCCCAAGTCTTTCATTTCAAACTGTTTGTTCGTTTCCACCTTAAATTTAGCAATTTCAATTGCATCGTTACAAGCCAACAACATCGTCAACATAAAGTGCCAAATAAAGGTAACAATTATCATATAAGCATTTGAAATAAGGCAGCTATCAAAATTACTTCTTTTGAAACCAGAATAGATCATAAAGTTGTCAAACTTCCTATACCATTGCCTAGGTGACTGCTTCAACCTATACAAAGACTTCTTTAAAAGACACACTTGGTTTCTAGAGCCTTTTCCAAACATTTCAGGTTGTTCCATTAAGATCCTTTCTCTAAATCACCATTCAAGAATGTTGT